GGTTTCTCAGTGGCAGAAGGATTTCAACAGTGTGGCCGACGACATGAGGGACGATGATGAAACCAAAGCTGAGCTCCACCTCAGGCTGGACGAACTGTGTGGACGATTGCGGAGTGTTAGTGAAAAGCGGAGGCAAGACAATAAGCAGGAGTGGACTGCTGCTGTTATGAAGGCTTGGCTGACTGATCACACTGCTCTGCTTCTTAACTGTCACTCCACACTTACTCAGGTGGAGTTGGACCGATTCCGGGACACATTTTGTATACTTCAAAAATATTATCTGAGCATGGCTAACAAGCATCTTCCCAAGATGCCTTCAAAATTACCTACGATTCCTCTTTTGGACAGCTCCAGCAAAAAAGATTTGGAGACACGAACTTCAGATTCTATGTGGCAAAAGAAACTCCTGGATGATTATAACACGGCAGTCACATGTATTAACAGTCAGTTGCCCAAATCAAGCCAGCAGGTGGAGGTAGAGACGAAGAAGACAAAAGAGACCATAAAAAAGGCACGTGTGGATAAAGGGAGCAAAAAAGGTCCATCTGCAAATAAGAAGAAAGGTTCTTCATCTCCGCCACGATCATCAACCCCTGAGCCGGTTCAAATCAAAATTATAGATAAATTAATGACACAATGCAATGCCGCCCTCAGTCATGAGCAGAAGGCAGCTGAGGTGCGTTTGAGCCTGGTCAAAGGTCACGGTTTACACTTAGTAGATTTGATTCAGTCTGAGGCAAAGCACACATTCTCCTCCATGGACGAGCTGTTAGAAGAGCATTTTGAGAATGAAATGAAGAGAACTGAAGAACTAGCAGAAGTGGTGCGGCACCACATAGAGTCTGAAGCTAAACTGCTGTATAGGTTGGTTTTGGATGGGACTCATTTCAGTTTAAATGGTGACTACCACATGGTGGCATTGCCTCTGTCTCGTCCACCTTCAGAAGCTCCTTCACAGAGCACTCTGCTCTTTACCCAGCTGGAATCACTCTGTCTGCAGTTCAGGAGTGTGGCTCCTAACGGTCTTTTGTCATATGTGGAGTTTTCTAATCTGCTCAAAAATATCATGATTTTAAGCAAGAACAGAATTGCTTTATCAGGAACCTGGCTCAGAACCACCCAAATGCAGCTCACAGAGATAGAGCTGGCATGGATTGAGGATTTATTTAAAGATAAATATGAGTGTGTGGATTGGCGTCGGTTCATGCTCAGTTGTGCCCAGCTATGGCCCTCACCTTCTATAACACAGCTTTTAGATGCTCTGCAGCGTTTGAAGGCAGCGGATATCGAAAACAAGGGATACGTCGGTGAAGAAGAGTTTCTACAGGCACAGCTGTGGTTTCCTGAAGGGACTGTCCTGGACCCCTCTGAGCCACAACCTCACAATCATTTCTATAACTTGCTCAAATTCTTCTTCCAGTTATTTGCTGACCACTCTCTCAGCCCTCCACGTCTCAACTATACATCCATGCTTCTGTACCTTGCTGCTGATCTAAACCCCAAACAGGGCTTTCTCAGGGCGCTCACTGTGGTTCTAGGGCATCGTCTCCATCAGTCCTCTTTGACCCAACTTGTCCAGTTGATGCCAAGTTTAGATGAACCTTCAGAGTTCAACTCCCCAGAACTGGATGCTGAGTCTAGTCAAGCTGAAAGCTCTTCTTTAAGTGCTTTTCTGGGAAAACAAAAAGTGTCTATACCTGCACTTCTGACTGTCATCAGCCACAGCAGTATCACAAAGGACGCCCACACTGAGTACACAAAGCAGCTGGTTGGTGTATATCAGGACCTGGGCTGTGGGCCAGATGATCCAGTCCCCTTCTCAGTCCTCTCCATTCATCCTTTCATAGAACACCTAATGGAGACATCAAAACAACACCAACTGCAAACTTACAACCTGATGGGAGCCCTTTGAGCTGTTCCTGTCTCCCCTGAAGAGACCACCAGCCCATCGATTTACTGTAGGTCTCTTCTAAATTGTTCACAATAAAGTTTTGAGCATCACATATTGGTTCAGTGTTTGACTACACTCCCTCCCGCACATACAGGCCAAATGAGCGCCGACCTCTCACTGTCTTTATAGTAAACATGACGAGCCCTGTAACATATGTATTTCCCACACAGGTCGTAATTAGGTTCATCTTGTCCCTCATGACCTCCTGCCGCTGTCTCATGTGGGTGGGTGTGTTCCTCATCTGTGGATTTTAAATCACCAGGAAGTTCTTCAAAGTCTCAAAGACGAAGGCTCATTTCTGCTTTTCTAAAGTGAAGACGAATTATGCTTTATAAAGCATTTACTAAGCGTGAAACAGTATTAATTAAGTCTTTGTTCATTATTAATTAAGTCTTTGTTCATTATTAATTAAGCCTTTGTTCATGCTTTATTAAGGCTAAATAAGGTGTAGTTATTATAAAGTGTTACCAAAATAACAAATATAAAATAGCTACAACTTAAATGTCAAACTGGAGCTAATGGCAACAGTGAAAACAACCTGATGATATGTGCAGTACTGTCCTATAGTGACCTGAGACCGAGGTGACCATCCCTATGCAGTGCAAAAGTCTGGCATCGCAGTCACGGAAATTACGTAAACGGTAAATGGTCATTATCCTTTTTTCCATTCTTCATTTAAACACAAAATCAAAAACTGAAAAAACAAATCAATCCGTGTATCATTCGTTCATTCGTTTTTCAATGTAAAACCAAAAATAAGAAAACGAAAAAACAACTGTTTTCTTCACTATTTGTCTCCAAAACCAAAATGAAAAAACGGATAACGATTCGTTTTTTTCAGTTTTCGATTTTGTGTTTAAATGAAGAATAGAAAAAACGGATAACGACCGTTTCCCATTTACGTGACTTCCGTGACTGCAATGCCGGACTTTTGCACCGCGTACGGACTGAACCAGGACTGATCCAGGTCCGGGACCAGACCGGGACCAGAGCGGGACTGAGACCGGGACCAGAGCGGACTGCGAGCTTTGACTTTGAGCCTCAACGGGTCCGAGCCTCAGCTTCGAGCTCCGGCCCTGCCGTGGGCTCTGAGCCACCGGTCTGGTCCTGGTCTGGTCCTGGTCTGGTCCCGGTCTGTCCCTGTCTCAGTAGCGCTCTGGTCCCAGTTCTTGTTTGTTTTCGTTGGTGTGAAAGCATCAGTTGGATGCTTTGCACCACCTCGGAACCAGCCGCGGTTCTTGAGCGCAGAGGACCGGAGCAGCCCGTCCGGACCTGCAGTCCACAGCGCATTCTCGCTTTCCCCGCACGGAACCAGTGCGCAGACGATGACACGGAACCGCTCGGACCACTGGTCCCAGTCTCAGTACCGCTCTGGTCCCGGTCTGGTCTCGGACCTGGATCAGTCCTGGTTCAGTCCGTACGCGGTGCAAAAGTCCGGCATTGCAGTCACGGAAGTCACGTAAATGGGAAACGGTCGTTATGCGTTTTTTTCCATTCTTCATTTAAACACAAAATCGAAAACTGAAAAAACTAAGAAAACTGTTCTTTTTTTCGTTTTCTTATTTTTGGTTTTATATTGAAAAACGAATGAACGAATGATACACGGATTCTCGGTGCCGGCATGTGTGGTTACAGTTCGGCTTTTTTATTTTATGCTGCGTCTAGTATGAATTGTACTCTCAATCAATTTGCAGATTAGACACCTGATGAAGTATTAAGCTCTGTAAAAGTGAACGTATTATGCAGAATTGTCTTTTATGAGCAGTGTTTTGGAGTAACAGATTACATGTACTGGAGTTACGTAACCAGAGTACAAATTATGAGTAACTGTGTTCAGTTACAGTTACTGTTTCAGTGAGTGGTAATTGGATTACAGTTACTTTGTTAAAATAAATGGATTACATGGTGGTATTTTCCTGTTTTCACATTTTGGGCTAAACCAGGACTAAAACCAGGACTAAACCAGGACTAAACCAGGTCTAAACCAGGACTAAACCAGGTCTAAACCAGGACTAAAGCAGGACTAAACCAGTTCTAAACCAGGACTAAACCAGGTCTAAACCAGGTCTAAACCAGGTCTAAACCAGGACTAAAGCAGGACTAAACCAGAACTAAACCAGGTCTAAACCAGGTCTAAACCGGGTCTAAACCAGGTCTAAACCGGGACTAAACCAGTTCTAAACCAGGTCTAAACCGGGTCTAAACCAGGACTAATCCAGGTACTAAACCAGGACTAAACCAGGACTAAACCAGGACTAAACCAGGACTAAACCAGGATTAAACCAGGTCTAGAAATCATTTTAAAACAAGCTTTGTTCCGGCTGCTATCATACTTATGAATAAATTGTAATCTATTTATCTATTGATTTTAGTACGTTTGTCTTGGAAAAGTTGTGTGTGTGTTTTTTTTATATATATATATTTAATATTTATTGTGATTTTAGTCAAGTGTGATGGATTTAACTATTTGTTTATGGAATAACACATTCTGCACTGGAGCTCTGTAACACTTTATTTTGTGATTGTGTTATTGGATATAATGTGGATGAATGAAATGTGAAATGTGGGACCTGCCTCTCAAATCTGCAAAACAAATTTACCTACAGGTACGAATAAATCAGCCTAACCTAACCTCGATATTTATTGCGATATTTTGTGAAGGCTAACAAAACTGTTAATATACTACTTTTTCCTCTTAAAATGCCTTGACAAGATTTAATCCAAAGAGCTAAGACTTAAAAGTGCTTAGAACTGTTATTTCTTCTTGTAGTCTGCACTGAAATGGAGCAAAGGATCATGGTCTATGTAGTTCTTTCTGTTTTTTTTTTTTTGTTTTTTTTTAGCTCCTGCTGCACCATAACTCTTAATTTAAGCAGAGAAACTTGTAATTCGATATATTGTGATGGTCCACGATATTATTGTGAAAACTTTGACGATACGATATCACGATATTACGTTTTTTGTTACATCCCTAATATTTACACATCATTTTAAGCTCCATTTGAAGTATTTGAAAAGTCTTATGTGTTTTTTCTTATCTCTGCCGCAGTACCATGTGGACACTGACGCGGTCGGTCGTGAAAGAGCGTGGACCCCTGGGACTGTTCACCGTGCTTTGCTCCACCATCGTGAGAGAAATCCCTGGATACTTCTGCTTCTTCGGAGCCTATGAGCTTTGCCGCTCCACGTTCGCTCAGTACATGAAAACAGGCAAGGACGGCATCGGTGTGTGAACAGAGCTTCTTCTCTTTCTCTGACTTAAAACTTAGACTTAAACTTTATTGATCCACAAGGGAAATTATTTGGGCACAGTAGCTCAAATATGGAGTAAGAAAGCTGTCAAAAATATTCGTGCGCATAAAATAGAAACCCGTGCATATTTGGGAAATCCGTGCATATTTGGCTGTAGTTGCGCATAAAATAAATATTTGTAAACTCTCAAATGAGTCCAGTCGTACATAAAATATATTGTGAGTATTTTATCCATCAGAATACGAATTGAAAAATTACGACGTCATGAATTACAATCACGAAATGAAAATTTACGATTACACTTTCATCAGTACGAATACGAATTCACAGACGGAACTTTACTGTCAAAAATACGTCATCACTTCACAGACATTGTTCATCGAGCAGAAGAAACATCGATCAAGATCAAGACTGCGCAGCTCAAGTTTGTAGCAGAGGGTAAAAACAGAGTAATAGCACAAGAAGCTACAACAGCGACCAACAAGTGGGTTAATTAAAATCTATTGTAAAAATGTCTTGAATTCGGGAACCGAACGCTGCTGTATAATATTGTGTAGAAACACCTCCTTTGAACGGGAAATTGCACCTATATGTTAGATAACATAGCGGTAGCCAGTTGGCTAACATCCGACGTAACGTTATCCCAGGGCTAATTAGCAAATATCAGGTTCTCTGTATGTTTAGATTAAAACATTCACGACTACAGCCACAGCGAGCATCAGCCAAACTACAGCCAAATATGCACAGATTTCCCAAATACGCACGGATTTCTATTTTATGCGCACAAATATTTTTGACAGCTTTCTTACTCCATACTCAAACATCACAATATAATATAATATATACGGGTGAATTTCTGTACAGTTGTAGGGAGTATTATCTGCTACATAAAAGTGAGTTGTTGTACAGTTGTAGGGAGTATTATCTGTTACATAAGGTGAGTTGTTGTACAGTTGTAGGGAGTATTATCTGTTACATAAGGTGAGTTTTGTACAGTTGTAGGGAGTATTATCTGTTACATAAGGTGAGTTGTTGTACAGTTGTAGGGAGTATTATCTGTTACATAAGGGTGAGTTGTTGTACAGTTGTAGGGAGTATTATCTGTTACATAAGGTGAGTTGTTGTACAGTTGTAGGGAGTATTATCTGTTACATAAGGTGAGTTGTACAGTTGTAGGGAGTATTATCTGTTACATAAGGTGAGTTGTTGTACAGTTTGTAGGGAGTATTATCTGTTACATAAAGGTGAGTTGTTGTACAGTTGTAGGGAGTATTATCTGTTACATAAGGATGAGTTGTACAGTTGTAGGGAGTATTATCTGTTACATAAGGGTGAGTTGTTGTACAGTTGTAGGGAGTATTATCTGTTACATAAGGGTGAGTTGTTGTACAGTTGTAGGGAGTATTATCTGTTACATAAGCATGAGTTGTTGTACAGTTGTAGGGAGTATTATCTGTTACATTAGGGTGAGTTGTACAGTTGTAGGGAGTATTATCAGTTACATTAAGGTGATTTGTTGTACAGTTGTAGGGAGTATTATCTGCTACATAAGGGTGAGTTGTTGTACAGTTGTAGGGAGTATTATCTGTTACATAAGGGTGAGTTGTTATACAGCTGTAGGGAGTATTATCTGTTTGAGCGGAGCTGTTGGAGCCTGTTGGAGAATGAGCTGCTCTCAATTTGAAATGTGGTGTAAGTTTTGCAATTTTAGATTTAATTGTAAGAGGAACAATTTATTTAAACTTAAGAAATTCCTGGTCAGCTAAAGAGACGCCGTATTGTGCAATTAGTCGACCAAAAGAGGGTGTGGCTAGACCAGTCTGTTTGGATCTGACCATGTATCTGACCCAAAGTGCACTCACAGGACTCCACCTGCTCAGGAATTCAATCAAAATCAATTTTACACCCATTTTACACTATTTTCTGATCTGTTATAGTGTTGTTTCCTCATCACAAACAGACCTGGAGTTATGTTTTGTTTTGTTTCTTTCACACATCTAACACAGAAATCCTGCACATTATTTTGGCTGAGTTCTTCTCTCACATGGAAAACACCAAAAATTTAAAAAAGAAAACAAAAAACTGCAATTTTCTTCATTATTTGTCTCTAAAACCAAAACGAAAAAACAAGTAACGATTTGTTTTTTTCAGTTTCCTGTGTTTAAACGAATAATGAAAAAAACGGTTAATGGTGGTTTCCTGTTTCTGTGACTTAAACTGAGATGCCGGACTGAACCAGGACTGAACCAGGACTGAACCAGGACTGAACCAGGTCCAGGATCAAACCAGAACCAGACCAGGACTGAGTCTGGGAGCAGGACAAGGACTGAGACCAGGATCGAGACCGGGACTGAGACTGGGAACAGACCAGGACTGAGACCAGGACTGAGGCTGGGACCAGACCAGGACCAGACCATGACTGAGACGAGGACCAGACCGGGACCAGACCAGGACTGAGACCAGGACTGAGACCAGGATTGAGGCTGGGACCAGACCAGGACCAGACCATGATTGAGACTGGGACCAGACCGGGAACAGACCAGGACCAAACCAGGACTGAGAGCAGGACTGAGACCAGAACTGAGACTTGGACCAGACCAGGACTGAAAACAGTTCAGTCCTGGTTCAGTCCATATGCGGAACAAAAGTCCGTCAGTTTACGTCACGGAAACAGGCCGTTATACGTTTTTTCCATTATTTATTTAAACACAAAATCGAAAACTGAAAAAATGAATCGTTAACCCTTTTTCATTTTGGTATTGAAGACAAATAATGAAGAAAATAGTTGTTTTTTTTTTCGTTTTCTTACTTTTGGTTTTATATTGAAAAATGAATGAACAAATGATACACCGATTCACCTTGCCTAGAATCATTTGGATGATTTCAGCTCTGCCAGTCTGAACAAAAGGTAAAAGGTAGTTGTTAACTTGAAAACTCTTGAAAAATCACTATCACTTCATGACATCACAAGGTGGAACAGAGCATTTTGAGCTTTGGAGATGTAGACAGACTAATAATGCAGGATTACACAAACGAATGAATGAAACAAAACACAATTGCAGTGGTTTAGAAGCTCACAAGAGACCATTTTGTGTAATATGGGCCCTTGAAGATGTGAATTATTTTATATTTTCTGGTCAAATACGATGTTGATTTTACCTTTTTTTTTCCCCCTGCTGATGCCTCCATGTGCTCTGTGCTCCAGGTATGTTTCCTCTCATCCTCAGCGGGGGCATTGGAGGGGTCTGTCTCTGGTCAGTGACCTTCCCCATCGATTGTGTCAAGTCCAGGATCCAGGTTTACGCTTTAGCTGGAAGACAAGAGGGCTTCATAAAGACGTTCAGGGCCATCATACGGCAAGAAGTTGAGAAACCTGCAGTTCAGATTTCAATGAAAAAGTAAAAATAACTGTTAGATATTTATATATAGAACAGGACCATTATATTTCTGCAATATTTGATGATTTTTTTTTTGACATAGTTCCTTTATATTACACTATTTTCTGATCTACACTATGTTGTTATAATGTTGGTTTCTCAATACAAGCCTACCTGGAGTTGTGTTTTGTTTCATTCACACATATTTCACATATTTTTAGGCTTCTTCTTTTTCTTTCAAACTGAAAACACTTTGTTCCACCTTGAGATGTCATGTGTTCCACTGTTTTTATACGCAATATTCCTTCATTAGAATAATTTGGATTATTTTAGCCCTGGAATGACCTATTTCTACCTAACAAAAGGTAAAATTTGCTTGACTCTTGAGCCGATGCTTCAAGGCGCTTCATTTGCTCCACTGCACCATCAAGTGGCCAAAACATGTATAACAGGCCGAGTGATAATAGTACAATCAACATGATCAGTGTGGTTTAGATGGAAAGATTTATATTGAACAAATGAATGATTAAATATTTGAATGTTTGTGATATCAACATAAATTTATTAACATGGAGTCTGAATGGTTAAAAGAAAAAGTAGGAACAAATTGGAGATTAGGGAAGTAATGTGACTGTGCTTGTGTTACTACTTTATGGCTGTGCTTAGGTGACTTTTAAAATGTATTCCCCTACAGATTACAGATTACATACCCCAAAATGTAGTTTGTAACGGAATCCATTAAATTACTTAAAGGTTGTATAGAGGATTCCAAGGAACGAGAAATCCAGCGACTGTTTGTCCTTTTCAAATGTTGCGCATGCGTGAAACCACCCCCCCCCCTACAGCTCCTACGTAGAAACACCTTCTCCCGCCTCCTCATACGCCAGAACAGGTTTGTTTACAAGCGGTGAGCTGCACATGACTTGTAAACAACTAACTACAGTGTTGTTAGGCAAGGCGGAGAAGTGAGGAGCGGGGGAGCGGGTGTGCGGACATTTCGTTCGCGGACGAGAAGTGAGGAGCAGGGAGAAGAGCGGAGCAGGGAGAGAGGAGAGAGAGAGGAGAGAGGAGAGGGGAGCGGTGCGCGGAGATTCCGTGCCCGTAGAAGTGAGGAGAAGGGGGAAGAGCGGAACGGGCAGCTGGGAGAGGAGCAGGAAAGGGGAGCAGAGAAGGTTGCGCGGAGATTCAGTGCGAATGAACTAGCTACAACACGCAGCAGCAAGCGGACTCTTTCTTTGCCTTGAAAATTACGTTTTCAGACATAGGATATCGCTTTCGGTTGAAAAACATTGACTAGCTCTTGGAAATAAAGTAGTTTTCATAATAAGCAGAAGTTTCCTGTCCAGGAGTAATTTGTGACCAATGCGTCAGTCTTTAGACCCTGCGTCTGCTTCAGTCGCGCCATCGCTGGAATGAATCTACAAGAATCACCTTAGTTTGGCTTCGCTGCTTTTCCCCTTGTCTTCTTCTTTCAGCGACCTCAAAAACGGACTTTCTTTTGCGGCTAACTGCTCCTGGATTCTTGTCTGCCATTGCAACAAACTTTGTGCTAACTGCGAGGAAGATATAGGTCAAAAAAAAGCCGCTAAGAACTGTTGCGTTGGTGGAGTAAACAGCGTCTGTGCGTCTTGCGTCTGTGGACTGCGTGACAGGCGTACGTAAACCACGTACCGGCGGTGCGCAGGCAGTCAGTTACGCTAGAAACGTAGGGAGATTGATTGACAGCCTGTCAGCTCACAGATAACGAGGCAGTGTCGTTATCTATTGGCAAATGTTTAGCCCCACCACGTCCAGAGTTGATGAATTTTTTATTCTCTTTTTTTTGGTCATCATAATTACAAGGCTACTGCACCTCTATAATGCTATCATTGACAATTGAAACAAAAAAACAAAAAAAAAAATCCTCCATACAACCTTTAAAGTGAGTAAAGTAATCTGAATACTTTGGATTACTTGATTTGTTGTAGAGAAACAAAGACGAGGATATTGTAAGATAAGATGTTTTGTCTGATAAAAGAAAATGAAAAGCCCAGACTTTACTTAACCAAATTAAAAATATTATTGATAGAAGAGGAGGAGACACGTCCACGCAGCACGATTTAGTCCTGGTTTAGATCTAGTTTAGCTCAAGTTTAGACCTGGTTTAGTCCTGGTTTAGTCCTGGTTTAGACCTGGTTTAGATCTAGTTTAGACCTGGTTTTAGTCATGGTTTAGTCCTGGTTTAGTCCTCGCATAGATCTTGTTTAGACCTAGTTTAGACCTGATTTAGATCTAGTTTAGAACTGGTTTTAGTCCTGGTTTAGTCCTGGTTTAAATCTAGTTTAGACCTGGTTTAGTCCTGGCTTAGGCCTGGTTTAGCTCCAGTTTAGACCTGGTTTAGTCCTGATTTAGTCCTGGTTTAGCTCTAGTTTAGTTTCCAGCAATGAGTGGAATTACCGCAAAAAAAAAAAAAAAAAAAAAAAAAAAGACCAAAATGTGAAAAACAGGAAAATACCGCCGTGTAATCCATTTATTTAAACAAAGTAACTGTAATCTAATTACCACTCAGTGAAACAGTAACTGTAATTGAATACAGTTACTCATAATTTGTACTCTGATTACGTAACATGTAATCTGTTACTCCCCAACACTGCATTTGGAACATTTCAGCCCTGGAATTACCAATTTCTACTGAATAAAAGTAAAACGGTGCTTTTAACTTGGAAACTACAGCTTCATGACATCACAAGTTGGAACAGAGCATTTTGAGCTTTGAAGATGTAGACAGACTAATAATGAAGGACTAGTCAAACATGTGTGAATGAAATAAAACACAACTCCGGTTCTGTTTATGATGAAGTAACAGCAGGTACCAGCTCACAAGAGTAAATTTTGCGTAATGTAGGACTTTTAACTAAATATAAGATGTTTAAGATGTTTTTGTTTATTAATGTAAATAAATACATAAAACAGATGTACACATTTCTTCATATTGATCGATCCTGATTTATCCGAATGAAAACATGTATTTATTTATTTTTTATTCATTATTGCCGTTTAACACAAAAATATTAAAAATTCTTACTCTCCATAATCTGAACTCACCTGTATGTGTTTACTGACAGAGGATTGGCTGTAGACCTCTCCATAAAAAAGTCCCAAGAGGTGGCGCATTGTGTAACTTTTCTGGTGGAGGGTTCGTCTAAAGCTTTTCTTCATGGAGATGTTAAACCTTTCTATCTTCATGGAGACCAAACCAGACCAAGGTGGGTGTCATCTGTGGATCTGTAGATCACGGTCAGAATGCCTGTTTTTCTAGGCATTTTTGGGCTATAAAACCACCTGTAACAGAATAAATGTAAGGTAGAGCTGTTTAATGTTAACCAGGTTAGCGCCAAATAGTGCCTCCACTCAATTTAATTTCTTTCCAGTGACTAGGTCAGGACTCAGAATACACTAGACGGTTTGCAAGAACCCTGGAAGTTTTAGACCGCACACCGACCAATCAGGGAAGAGCTGTGAAGCCATGACGTCCAACTCAAGCGCCTGTCTGAGTCCCTTTTGTGGAACAGCACAACAGTAAACAAAGCGGTCAAGATGGATGTAGACGAAGACAGACATTCTGTGTTGGCAACGATTCCCGAGATCGAGGATTTAAAGCCAGAATAAAGAGAATGTTTGGTGAATTTTATCAAGGGGAAAGAGGTTATTGTCCTTCTTCCTACAGGATTTGGGAAAAGCTTAATATACCAGTTTGCCCTGTTAGCAGCGCCTTACATAAGTCATGACCAAATAGCAGCAATTGGTTAAATTGAAAAAAGTACTACGGTCGAGCGAACAAATTCTAATGCTGCGAGGTCAGATGGTTTCTACGAAGTGAAACCAGCTGATGAATCAGGCTCACGAATTGAGACACCCCTTCAAAAATCACATACCTCATCAATAGTCTCCGCCAGCTTTTACGTAAGCAGATGCGACGAGCTTTTGCCAGAAATCCAACATGCCGTCTACAACTGTGGTGGTCTCTCTTGCGTGGGCTATTGGCACATTTTTATGGTTTCCTGCAGCTAATTGGAAAATGTGTATAGGTTGTATAGGTTGTGGAGAATGACCGAGTCAAGATCCTCAGGGACCTACAGATACAGATGGACAAGATGACGATGAACCAACCAGACAGAGTGGTGGTAGATAAGCAACAGAGCAGAGCCGCGGTGGTGGACATCGCAATACCAAGCGATGGCAACACGGAAACTAGAGAAGATGGAAACTAGAGAAATCCCAGGGGCTCAAGGAGGAGCTGAAGAAGGCCTGGAAGAGTGGCTACATCAGATACTGGGAAAAACAACAGACATCTCAGTGTAGAAAAGCGCAATACAGTAAAGATACTACGCAGAACTCTCAAGCTCCTCTGGTAGAGGACCCGAACTGGATGAGTATGAGAGAGACCAATCACCGTGGAAGGTGGAAGGTGAGGAGTACATTATATATATATAATATATATAATATATATATATATATATATATATATTATATATATATATATAATATATATATATATATATATATATATGTGTATATGTATATATGTATAGTATATATATATATATGTATATATGTATATATATATGTATATATATGGATATATATGGGTGTAGGTATATATATATATATATATAGGTCATACCCCTCTGTTTGGAGTGTGCCTCTGAAAAATCTTCATTTGGAGAGGTATATAGCCCTAGTCTGATTCATCAGCTGGTTTCACTTCGTAGAAACCGTCTGACCTCGCAGTGTTAGAATTTGTTTGCTCGACAGTAGGCAGGTACTTTTTATCATTTAACTAATCGTTGCTATTTGGTCGTGACATATGTAATGTGCTGCTAACGGGACTAACTGGTATATTAAGCTTTTCCCAAATCCTATAGGAAGAAGGGCAATAACGTCTTTCCGCTTGATAAAATTCACCAAACATTCTCTTTATTCCGGCTTTAAATCCTCGATCTTGAGAATCGTTGACAACACACTGAATGTATGGATCTTCGCTGATTGACTAGTGCCCGAACTCGCACTTCTGGGGTTTTTGCCAACTGTTTATTGTATTTTGATTCCTGACCTAGTTACTGGAGATAAATGAAATTGAGCAGAGGCACCAGGTGGCGCCAGCCTGGTTACGAATTGAGACACCCCTTCAAAAATCACATAGGTCATCAGTAGTCTCCGCCAGCTTTTACGTAAGCAGACGCAGAGCTTTTGCCAGAGTTCCAACAAGCCGTCTACAACTGATATGACCAGAAAGTCTCCTCTGAAGGTTTCTATGTTATTTGATTACCACCTTAATATCATAGTGTTTTATTTGTCATGGTGAGTTATTTTACTGTCCTTGACCCAGTTTTATTTTGTAATTTCTCTAGCTGTGTGTGTTTTGAGTTTTACTTCCTGTTCCTGTATTGATTGTTTGCTCCGCTCTAATGTGTCTGGCCAGTGTCGTGTTCTCCTCTGCCCTTTGTTTGGTTCTTTTGTCATTGTCAGTATCACATTTTTATCAAACATCTTTGCAAGTGCAGCCCTGCATTTTGGTCCTTTTTCTGCTCTCAACGTGACACTTATGACATCACACAGTGGGACCAAATGTTTTTTAGCTCTGGATAAAAAGACTGTATATAATGTCCTATAAGATTTCTTAAAATGGAAAAGATTAATATTACAACTAAGGGCAATGAAGACGAAAAAACTCTTGACCTAGTTGATATCACGATTTCCAACCAGGGAGTAAAATTTTAAACCTAAAAAATGACCAAATTGGGAAAACGTATGAATGTTTTTGCAAAAATCTTAAATATTATGATCTTAACTGTGTTTTAGTGCAATGAATAGTCTAAACTGTCAGAGGCACTTTAAAAGAAACCTACCCCAATACCCTTCAACTGAACCCAGGCTTAAGTTTCCCCGCCTGAACACTTCCTTATTATTTATTCATGAGCTACACTCCACAGGCGTGAAAGCCTTTGACCAACTAAGCTTTCAAAACAAGAATAAAAACTAAAATCAGATACTAGAACTAGATACTCATTTGAGGAGGTATCGATACTAAAAAAGTCACATTCACAGGATAAAAATGAACCTTTCTGAATAGGTTTAGAATGATTTTGAGCTGTATCAGAACAAATATAAGACCACATTAGACTTAGACGAACTTTATTGATCCACAAGGGAAATGACATAAGAAAAAGTAAAAAATATTAATATAAAAATATAAAAGAATATAAATATAAATAATAATAATAAAAATAAATAAATAAGAATGATAAAACTATAAAAAAAATATTAAAAACAAACAAAAAATAAATAAATATAAAATATAAAAATAATAAAATAATAATAATAAAAATAAATAAATACAAATTATAAAACTATAAAAAATATATAAAAAAGTAAAAAAATATAAATACAAAAATATAACTTAGTAAGAAATATAAGTGTATATATTAATAAATAATATAAAGAACGTAAATAATATAAATATAAAAATAAATCTAAATAAGTAGCAAAAGATAGCAAGAGACTAGTGTCAAATAAGACATCATCAAAATAAAATAGAAAAATAAATAATAAAATCTCAGCTTTATACAAGAGTTCATAGGAAGACATTAGGGCTGAGTATCATTAAGAAGTATTGAGATACGATACATAGGCCACGTTACGATACATATCTCGATACAGTGAGCTTTTGATTCGATACGATTCAGTACGATATATTTCAAAATGATTCAATATGGTTTAATAAAAAATTAAGTCTAAATCATGGCTGTGATACTAAAAATCTTTGTTAAACCACTTTTTGTGCAAAGTTAATATGAAACACAAACATTTTAATCATTAAAACTGCAAACATAAACCAGTTTTCTTCCTCTAAACAAGCAACAAAACTGTAGCACTGTAACAAAATAATGTAGTAAAATGTCCCAAAAAAATACTCATGGTGATATATCGATTCAGCAACCAACGATATCGATACTGTATTATCACATTAAACGATATGATATATTGATATTTGGATATTTTTGCATACTCCAAGGCAACATGGTAATATAAAAGAAAGTATTATGATTTAATGTTGAAAATTATGTTCTATTGTCTAAAGAAAGAGTGTTTTTAGTTCTCATGGTTGTATTGGAATGGGTTTTGAGTGTCCAGTCTATTCCTTAGTAACGAAATAGAGTTTGAAATTGTAGTTTTACTGATAACATCCCTTGGTGACTTTGGGTATTTCCCTGTATGCTTCTTGTTTGTGTTGTAGTTACCTTAGCAGTGAGTGGGTGGTAGGCTGAATATCATTGTCATGGCACTGGTCATGTGGTAGTGTTGGCGAGGCCGGACACACCCTGAAGAGACAGAGCAGAAAGCGGAGAGAGCGGAAGGGGAGAGGAGGAAGAGGAGGAAGAGGAGTATGGGCTCTGTTACACTGCCCAAAGCCACGGACTCCATGATCTCCACCACATCGAGCACCGCCGAGATGGTGACGCAGGGAAAACTCCAGATCAGCCCTATGGAAAATGATGAAGAAGGTTAGTCGAATTACACACAAATTATTCGAGTGTAACAAAATGGTAGATTGTTAAGCTAAAATATGACTTAAATATAGCTCTGTCACGCTAAACGAAACAGAGAAACTGACCTAAAATAGCCTTAGTTTTAGTTTGTTTCTATAAATAATTAGGGATGTAACAATATCCAAATCTCTCGGTACGATATTATCACGATATACGGTACGATATTTATTGCGATATTTCAGAGAGACTGATATAATTCTGTTTTTAAAATACCTTGACAACATTTTGGTGTGAATTATTTCTGTCATAATCCCAAGAATTCAAGTAAAAAACAGATCCCTTCATGTTGTTTGCACTGCAATGAATCATGGGATATGTAGTTTCTGATGTTTACAAGATGTTGCTGCTGTAAAAACATGCATTTAAGCAAAGGAACTTGTAATTAGATATATTGTGAGACTTTTGATGATACAGTATCACGATATTTCAGTTATTCTTACATCCCTAATTTTAGTTATAATTATTCAACCCTAAACATCTTAAATGTTATTATACTATAAAACACAAACTGGGTAGTACTCAGTTACATTTACTTTACTTTTACAAATGTTATGTTTTGTTTAATTTGTGTCCTTCAAATTACAATTATAAATCAGATGACATTCAAAGGTGCAGTATGAAAACCTTTCCATCTTCATAAAGACCAAACCAGACCAAGTTACAGGTCAGATCTGTGGCGAGAATGCCTGTTTTTTGAGGTATCTTTGAGCTATAAAACCACCTGTAATTGAATAAATGTAAGGTGGAGCTGTTTCATGTCGTAATGTGAAACACTTCCGGCAGCGCAATGACTTAAAAATCCATACAAACAAGCTTACGATGGACCCTCTACCAGAAAAGTTACTTAAAGCACCTTTAATTTTGTAATACTTGACATTCAAATAGGGGGAAATCTAAAAGTGTTCATACCGAGTACTTATTAATGCTTTTGAATCTACCTTACCATAAGTATTCCACAGTTTTCATCAAACCTAAACCTAATCTAACCTAAAGATTTGTCCTAATAAATCTCACAATTTGCAAGTAAGACGATGTGCGAGATTTTTCTACATGTTTGTGGGCTGCTCCCTTTTCTCCAACGCACCCGTCTCAAGTAATTAATGTGTGAACTTCTCATTCTTTCACATTTTTCATCATAAAATATAAAAGTAGTAGTTTAATTGAGTCAAGTGAGGCTAAAAGAGCTAGCTGCAAAACTATTACAAAGTGACATAAATAACGTAGCTCACCATTTGTTCATAATATTCTGCTTAGTAAAAAAAAAAAGGTAGAAATAAATCGATTAGAGCGGAGTAATTTGTTTCCTCATCACAAACAGATCTGGAGGTGTGTTTGCTTCATTCATAAATGCATATTTAGGCTTCTCTTAAACAAAAAAACATGTCATGTGCTCCACTGTGTTTTTAAACTCCATACACCTTCACAAGAATTATTTGGAATTGCCAATCTCTACTGAACAAAAGGTAAAAGGAGCTGTTAACTTGAAATTGACTTAAACTTCATGACACTTCAAGATGGAACAGAGCATTTTGAGCTTTGAGATGTGAACAGACTAATAATAAAGTGTTACTCAAACATGTGTGAATGAAACAAAACACAACTCCAGGTTTGTTTTTGTGGAGGAAACAACATTACAACACGATTTAAAGCTCACAAGAGTCTATTTTGCGTAATATAGGACCTTTAGACATGTTTAAATGAAAAATCTGCATTATAACCAACATGCAAAAGAGTCAATTTCGTATAACATGGGAGTTTAAGAGTTAAAAGTTCACTCTCATGTATAGTAGACTGGAGTATGTTTTTACACAGGAGCAGAGACGTGGTGGTGGTGTGCATTTACATACGACTGACATAACTAATGAAGCATCACAATGGCACGCCTCAGGTTACAAGTCTGTCATAGGATCATGTGCACACACGGGCTGTTTACATGGGCTTTGTGATGTGGAGAGTCCGGTTGGAAGAGTATTGTGGACTTTATTCAAATAATGTCAGCTGAAAATGTCGTAGCTACGGTAGGAAAACAAGCCCCGAGTCAGAGGTCTTTGGAGAATCTCTGAGCTCTTGGATACAGACACAGTGACAGCATACAACAAAGCACTATAGATAAACATGTTTGTAAGCACTTAACTGTAGCTGAAATCACTCAGAGTTCACAAATAATTTCACAATGATATCTCTCTATTCTCTAATCTATTTTACTGAGAGGGATATGAGTCTCGTCCCCACGCCCTCCATTACGCCTCAAGCCAGATTCAAACATGGCTGTGGAATCTGATATGTTATTTATTTATTTATTCTACTTTCTACATTTTAGATACACACCAAAGACATCAAATATATGAAGTAAGATATATGAAACTTTATATCTTTTATATTCAAATCCTCAAAGTAGTCACCCTTTGCTTTGTAGAAAAAATATTTAGTAGTTAATACATTTTTTTCCCTTTATCTATCTAATTTCATATATTTGATATCTTCTGTATGTATATAAAATGTAGAAAGTGTTAAAAACAAACAACATTGAATGAGAAGGTGTGTCGAGAACTTACAATAGGGTTCGGTCAAGTGGTAACGGAGGGAAACGGGCAGATTTTTTACATTCAAATAGCTCTTATTCAGAAACTAGAGGGACTATTGAAATAAGTAAAGTATCAGAATGTAGGAAAGAGTTAACACTCCAACAGGGTAAAGTTAAACCTGTGATATTCTTTCAAGTTGTTGACAAAAAATAAAAAAACTCATGTCGGTAACAGAGGGAATGAAATATGCAGCACTTTTTGGGCAATAAATACAAACAGTGATAACTAGCGGTTCTCACTTACATATCCTTAACAAACTGGTTTGAATATTTGCTTCATATAGTTTTCTACCATATGGTACAAGATTAGGTTGAAAAACCTCTTACTTTTTGAGTAATGAGATTTTTTATTAAGAAAGGTCATGGTAACGGAGGGAAAAGTAACGGAGGGAAAATTACCATTTTTTAAAACTTGTAAAACACAGGTTTTACCAGATACTAACACCTAATAGTTTTAATTTTCATAAGTATATAAGTATACTACCTAGACATGTAGATTAGTCAAAGATGAAGCTTGAAAGTTAACCTGAAGAGGATTTGCAGGTCTTTGAGGTTTTTGTTCAAGGCCTAAAAATTGTATATGTAACATGGTCTGTTTAAAACATATATAACTTTAGAACCAAAAATGGTACAGAAAAAAGGTAAACAGTTTCATAAACTAGAGTACATATGCTATCTGTTGAATACATTTTTATATCAGATGCATTAACTTGAATTTTTGGCCTTGCTGTTTACTTCTGCTTGACCGGGCCCAATAGCAATAAAATAAATAATAATCCATTAATCTTATACAGATTTTTCTTTTTAAAGCTCAAAATCTCTTTACAATTTTGCACATTATTCATTCACTCGCAGCACTTTCATACTAAGTGCTGTGAGTGAAGGGTTTGCCTAAGGACACAGAACAGGCCTGGCCCTGATTAGCTTCTAAGATCTGACGAGATCAGGCTTGGACCAGGAGCTTTGGCCACAAATGAGAGGTAGTGTACATCTAAAACCACATGCAATTATGTATTATAAAACAATCTCAAGCCTGTGTATTATACAACATTTTACCTTCTGAAATTTTGGTTTTGCATATCACACTCTGTAAAGCCATGATGATAATGTAATCTGACTGTTCATTTGAATCCTTATGTTTTTCCCTAGCAAAAATATTCCTGCAATTTGAATTATTTTACATATGCAAGGCTCCGTTTCCCTTTCCAGAAATGACCCTGGTTGTCATTAATAGGTCATGATTGGGTCCCATAATGGTGTGTGAGTTTGAAAATGTCTTAAACTGATTAAATTGGTCTCATTTTGCAGATAAGAGATCGGGGGGCCTGGGCTGTTGTGGCTGGGTGCTGGTCGCCGTCTCCCTCCTGATCGTGGCCCTCACCTTCCCACTGACTCTCTTTTTTTGTATAAAGGTACACCTGCAATATTCATTTCAATTCAAAAAGTTTATTGTCAAATTTCCATATGAACATATGAAAAATGTAAATTATGTTCTCACTCTCAATCTTCTAAATTAAATAATAAAATAAAAGGAAAAGTCTAAAGTTCTTCTTAATGGAGACTCAGGTTCCTAGCTTCCTGGTGGTTAGAGAGGGGAGAGATCAGCTTCCTAACAGCTTGGTGGATGAATCTGTTAGTGAGTTTTCCTGGCTGTGTTCACTCTGCGCTGCAGGGCTCTCCTGTTGTGGTCTGTGTAGCTTCCGCCTCAAATAGTGATGAAGCTGAAATAATGCTCTCAATGGTTCCTCTGTGGAATGTGGTCATGATGGTGGTGAAGCTCTTGCCCACTTGAGTTTTTCGCAGGAAGTAGAGGCATTGTTGGGCTTTCGTCAACAGTGATGCAGTGTTGGTTCAGGAGAGATCCTCAGTGATGTGCACCCCCAGGAGTCTAGTGCTGCTCACTCTCTCCACAGCAGCACCGTTGATAGTCAGGAGCGGGTGTTGGGTGTGCCTCTCTGGAAGTCGACAACAATCTCCTTAGTCTTGCTGACGTTCATCTGGAGGTTGTTGTCTCTGCACCACATGGTCAGACTACCTCTTTCTTGTAGTGAGTCCCACCTGAGTTTTGTCGCCAGAGAAGTTCACAAGGTGGTTGGTGCTGCAGGTTGTTGTGCAGTCATGTGTCAGCAGGGTGAAGAACAGACGGCTCAGCACACAACCTTGGGGAGCCTCCATACACAGAGTGATGGTGCTGAAGGTATTGTTGTCAACACGTTCTGCTTGTGGTCTCCGGCTGAGGAAGTCTAGCAGCCATTTGCAGAGGGAGGTGCTGAGACCCAGCTTGTCAAGTTTGCCGATGAGTTGTTGTGGTATTATGGTGCTGAATGCTGAACTGAAGTCTATGAACAGCATTCTCACATATGAGTCTTTAGTGTCCAGATGGGTGAGGGCTAGAGCAGATCGCATTCTCTATGGTACGTTTGGCCCGGTATGTGAACTGGAAAGGGTTCAGGGTGGGGGTGGTGTGGGACGGGTTATGACTAGCCATTTAAAGCTCTTCATGATGATGGGTGCCAGTGCCACAGGGAGGTAGTCATTGAAGCAGAATGGGGATGGTTTCTTTGGCACAGGTATGACGGTGGTGGTTTTGAAGCAAGATGGGACAATGGCTTGCTCCAAAAGGTGTTAAAGATGTTTGTAAAGACATTCTTTAGCTCCTCTGCACAATCCTTCAGCACACGGCCTGGGATGTTATCTGGACCTGCTGCTTTGCGTAAGTTGATGGTGGTGAGAGAGACAGGCACAGAGTCCTGGAGTCATGGAAAGGGGTTGTGGTTTTCTGTGCTTGGGTGTTGTTTTGTGCTTCAAAGCATGCAAAGAAGCTGTTCAGGTCATTGAGCAGAGAGGTGTTGCTCTCACAGCTCTGTGGGCGGGCTTGTAGTCCATGATGGCCTGTAAGTCCCGCTGTAAGCTCTTTGCATCTCTGCTGTCTTTAAAGTGGGAGGTTTTCTTGTTTGTGTACTCCTTTTTTGTTTTCCTTATACCCCAGCTCTCACTATTCTCAGGCCAGGTTCATCCCCAACTCTGAAGGCTTTGTCTCTGGCCCTCAGCAGCTTGTGTACTTCCCCTGTCAACCATGGCTTCTGGTTATATATTATATACACTACCGGTCAAAAGTTTAAGAACACCCTAATTTTTCCAGTTATTTATTGCAATCCAAGTCATGCAAGTCCAATGAAGAGCTTGAAATGGTACAAAAGTAAGTCCTGAACAGCCAGAGGGTAAAAAAAAGTTAAAAGATAACAAAAAAGTCCAAGCTCTGCCAAAACTACCTCAGAAAAAAAGAACAAGATGGTAAGTTTAAAAACATGGAGTGTCCAGCACAGTCTCCAGACTTAAACCCCATCGAGCTGGTTTGGGATGAAATGGAAGAGTGAAAGTCAAACAACCTACAAGTGCCACACATTTATGAGAACTTCTGCAACAGACTCGGGAAGAACTTTCTGAAGAATATTTGATTTCTGCTGTAAAAAGAGCCACGAGTGTGTTCAGCTGTTATATCTGCCAAAGGTGGACACTTTTATGAATCAAATGTTTAGAATACGTTTTGGTTCAACAGTAAACAGTAAAAAAAATGGAAAAAGTATGGTGTTCTAAAAGTTTTGACCGGTAGTGCGGCAACAACTTGATTCTTGGTGGATAAAAAGATGAAAGTCAGAAATAGAGCAGGCCAGAATTCTGTATCTCATACTGGCTTAACACAATGGATGCTTGTGTCAAATACAAAAAAAAATATAGTCTGATTTGAAAAATGAAAGGATCCAAGTTAGAATTTGAAAAATAGAGTTGCCAAAATTATCGGAAAATTGGATACTTGTCAATACTACAACTATTATCGAAAATAGATAGTAATTTGAGCAGGTATCAATGCGAACTGTAGTGTCCATGGGTTTCAGAATGATGAGAAATTAGGGCCGTTGTTATTGTGTTTAACAATTTAAAACTACATATTCAAATGGAGCAGGCCAGACTTCTGAATCTCATATAATGTAGACTAAAAAACATGGATGTTTATGTCAAATACATGTTGTCTTTATGCATTTGCAGATAGTGCAGGAGTATGAGCGCGCAGTTATCTTCAGGCTGGGAAGAATCACGGACAGAAAACCTAAAGGGCCAGGTGGGTCCCCCATTTTACGCATGTATTTTCAAAGCCTTATCTGTTTGAATGTGTTGACAGTTTTGATAAAGTCGTGTGAGGCTACTTAGGCAAAAACATTAGGCAAAAATCCTATTCAAAATCCTATTCAATTTTTAAAATTTGTAGATTTTTGGAGTACAAACTGGTCCAGATTCTTCTCAGAATGGTTGATGTGACTGAAAATAAGTGGGTTACATGTCCATAAGATTGAGAGTTCTCTTTTCTCAGAAGCTGGATAAACAGAAATGAATTAAGAAAACGTACCAGCTAGGAACATGGTTTTGATACTAGTATTTGTACCAGTATTCTTCAGAAAAAACAAGATATCAACATGGTGTCTTTGTAATTTTACTTATTTGCAAAAGTAAGCACCTGAATAAATGAAGTATGTTTTGCAATAGGCCTTTTCTTTGTCCTTCCCTGCACGGACACCTTCGTCAAAGTCGATCTGAGAACCGTCTCCTTTGACATTCCGCCACAAGAGGTCAGTGTGGCGTTCGTTTTAACACTGGTCATTTATGTTCCTGTACTTACCCGCGTGGTTTTGTGGACAGATCTTGACGAAGGACTCCGTGACGGTCTGTGTGGACGGGGTGGTGTACTTCCGCATCCACTGTCCCATCTCATCTGTGGCCAACGTGTCCAACGCTCACTCCTCCACCCGCCTCCTGGCACAGACCACTTTGAGGAACGTCCTGGGCACCAAGAACTTGGCAGAGCTGCTGTCAGACAGAGAGGGGATATCAATCAGTATGCAGGTGAGGAGGAGGACAGCACCTGACAAAGAAAACACACCACCAGGAAAATAGCATGGATCTACTGTTATTGAATATAGCTAAATCTTACAAATCTTCAAAAACTTTTCAAATCATCAGTGCTATAAAGGGCCCATATTAAACTATTTTTTGATCTATGTTATAATGTTTCCTCATCAACATGGCTAAAAGCTCACAAGAGTACAGTTTGTGTAATATAAGACCTTTAAATTAAGACCTGAGTGTTGTGTTTTTGTTGTTAAAGGAATCCCTGGATGAGGCCACAGACCCGTGGGGCATTAAGGTGGAGCGTGTGGAGATAAAGGACGTGAAGTTGCCTCTGCAGCTGCAGAGGGCCATGGCGGCTGAGGCAGAGGCCAGTCGAGAGGCCAGGGCCAAGGTAAAACAGGACTTATGTATTTTTACTTTTGGTGTATCCGGGTGACCAACTGGGATTGCTGCAAACCAATCAGTCAGTGGTAAGAAAATACAAAAGAACAATACTTACTAACTACAAATGTTAGTACTGTAGTACTGTACTTTACTTAAGTACATTTTACAGTGAATACTTTTTACTTTTACTCCACTACATTTGAGATCTAGACTGACAAGTAAAAAGAGACCTGCTTATTTTTTTTTTTTACAAAATTTAATTTGCGTTTCTGTCCTAACTTTCAATACATTTCAACACAATACACAAAAATGGGTAGAAAAAAATAAGAAGTCAACTGAATCACTTAAAATCAGCAAAATCCTTTATGAAAAGAACTACATTTCATCCTTTAATTGTTCTAAAAAATCTCTGCAAAATACTTTTACTTTTTATTCTTTAAGTACATTTTTAAACTAGTACTTTAATATTTTTACTTCAGTAGATTTTTTCATATGATACTTTTAGTAACTTTTTGCCCTTGTGTCTGTACTTTTACAAAACTGAGTACTTCATCAACGACTGACCCGAGCTCTCGAGTCAGTTTGTTTTTTTGTTTTCTTTATCACAGCCAAACACACTCTGGGACTAAAAATATGTCTTACAGGACCAGTAAAGCTGATTCACTGTGGAAAGTTTAAAACCTGATGACCAAAACAACAACTAAATTATGCAAACTTTATCCACATGGATTATAAAGTCCTCTGGTTGCTAGGTGAACGCAAAATTATACACCACTGAGTATCGAGTCTGTGCCTTAGTACAGAAATCGAGTTTGAAATGTTGGCATTGTGACAACACTAAACACTAATCACAAAACTATGGTATTTTAAACTAAGATATGAAAAAATAAAGAGCTATCCTAATAATTAAATAAATGTTGCAAAGTAAAAACATGATAATTCACATTTACCCTAAGTGAAAATGCCTGAATTGACGTTTGATAAGAAAGCTGCAATGGTTGATGACCTGAATGACTTGAGTGACTTGTGTCTGTGTTTCAGATCATCGCGGCCGAGGGGGAGATGAATGCTTCGCGGGCTCTGAAGGAGGCGTCTCTGGTGATTGCTGAAGCTCCCTCTGCTCTCCAGCTCCGCTACCTGCAGACGCTCAACACCATCGCTGCAGAGAAGAACTCCACCATCGTGTTCCCGCTGCCCATAGACATGATCCAAGCTTTCATGAACAAATAGTTACGCTTTTACACAGATCATTTAGATCACGAAGATCCTGCATGCATCTACCTGAAGAAGAGTGTATATAGATTTGAGCCAACAGTCTGCTGTATACATGTTTTAAGAAACACACGGAAAGTTATTTATGTTAAGTTGATTAAAGCACAAAAAGGCTCTCCTCTCACCTGCGCAGCACTCTGACAGCTGTGGGTCTGCGGGTCCACGCACCCGAGCCTCTGACACAAGAGGAGGAAGCAGCTGCTGGGTTCACACTACAGACATGCTGCATATTACATAGAAGAAATACTGTATTTTTCATCATGCATTACAAAAAAAGGAAACAAAAAACACCTGCAGACGAAAATGTCCATGTAGTTTGTGATTTAATACTTAAATACAGTGCAACAATGACACTACAGACATTACGTCTTAATGGGCACATTAAAAAAGCCAGTTGAGCTACAGCTGCATTTCTGCAGGACAAATAAATAAATAAATATACACTACAACAATAATCGAAGAATGCACATGACGTCATAAAGACATGCGTTCTCTTAAACATATCTGAGTCTGAATACAATCTTTACAACTCAAGTCTTGTAAACAAGTAAACAACAGTGACATTAACACTTGTAAACAAAGTTGTCATTTAGTGAAGATAAAGTAAAGATGGAGAGAGTGTGTCATGTCCACAGGACACAGACAGCCCACCACAGCCTCATACTTTACAGTACATTCTGCCCAGGACATTTAGATTCATTTGATGATTGTTACATATATACTCGCTATTTTGCACAGTTAGAAGTTATGTAAACTCAAAGAATAAAATAAATAAAAGTCGTATTCTATTGTATGGTTCTTGACACCTGAGATGACTTGGTCATGGTACTGAGGTAAGAGCAAGCAACCATCATGCCTTTAGTTTAGTCCAAATTATCTATTCTTTTTACAGTTTCATTCACATTTATTTACAGTGTGAATGGAGTCTGGGGCTGAGTTTACATTTGTAGAAAATAACAGTAAATTATGTTTTGTTGCAAAAATCCAGAACGAAATGCTGTTTTTTATGTATAGTATTTTAGCTGATCTCTCCTCATGCTGATGCTGAACAGACGGGGTACTGTAAAAGACTACTGTATATCAGGTATTATAATAGTGTCTACTGTAGGTCAGCTAATGACTTTCTATCTTCTACTCTATGAAAGTAGCACTTCTGTTCTTTCCCTGCGTAAAGAGTAAGAGGCATTTGCTGGAAGACAGATCATGCCAAGCATGAGGATTTCTACAGTTCTCTACGAAAAGAAGCAGAGTCCACAGCCCAAAGTATCTGACAGACTCAGACAGTGGGACCTTGTGACCATGTGGAGTTTAGAGTTTGACAGTACGGCAGTAGGACAGTACGCAGAGAGAGACAGAGGCTACATGTGTCCAGTGTTTGTGACACTCACAGTGTCCTCATGTCCAGTGTCTCATGTCCATGTGCAGTAGGTAGTTTTAGGCTGTGCCAGACGCTGCTGGTGGAGAAAACGCACAACCAAAGGCTTCTTCTCTGTCTCCTGCTCCATGATCCTGAGCGTTGGTCCAAATGTTCCATGTGGATGGATACAATTACAGCAGATGAGGCACTGGCTTCACTGGTTTGGTGATTCCCTTTTAACATGGCTGGAGTGAAATGTCAGATGAAGATTGGAGTCTTTGGTGATCACTGGTGGTAGGAGTGTGGGCGAGCAGGGGATCCTGGGGCAGGAGAGGCCCGGTGCAGGGGGGAGGAGGAGGGGGACATGCTGGGGCTCAGCTCTCCCGTCTGCAGCCTCCACAACAGCTCCTCATTAGTGCGACTCAGACGCTTCTTCTCCTTGCTCTCCTGCTCTACATGCACCTGCAGGTTGGCATTCTCCTCCGACAGTTGTCTGAAACACACAAGTGAATGAAAATCTGCTGTTTGCTGAGAATGAAATGCCACTATGAAGAGGCAGGGCCTGTTGGAGAGAATTGTGCTCTTTTGAACCTGTCAAGCCATTTTAGAACAATATTTCAGTTTAAAATGATCCAAATGTAAAATCATTTTTTCTTAGAACTATGGTGGTGGTAATCACAATTGTCAGATTTTATATTGTCTTGCATCTCTTCTCTGCAACAACAAACGTGCACACATCATGTTTACTCCCCCCACACTGTTGCCTCATAGGCCTGACCTGGAGACAGCGAGGTTCTTGTCAATGCGTTCCTTCAGGTCCTCGTTCTGCTGCTGGAGAACCTGCAGCCTCTCCTCCAGATACACGTTCTTTTCAGCCTGCTCAAAGACACACAGCACCACAGCACAACGTTACAACACACACAGGCGGGTTTACAATCAAAAAGTCAAGAAAGCACAAGTGCATATACAAAACAGCATTTTGGAGCATACTAGTTTCTCCAGCTCTGTGATCTTCAGTTCCTGTTGATGGATCTGTTGGTTCTTCATCTCCAGAACTTCCTTCAGACTCTTCAGGTCTTCCTCTATGTGTTTATATGGGGCTAAGGCATCCTGGGAGACAAGACACTTCCTGAGTAATCTGTTTTGTAATAAAGGCTCTATTAGGGTTATGAGTTGACGTTACCACGATCTGTTCATCTGTACTTCTGCGCAGAGCCTCCTCAAAGCGTTTGGCTCTGTCTCTTAGACTGCGGTTCTGAAATGTCAGTGTGTCCACCTGGTCCTGAGCCGTGTGCACATGTGTTATTAACCTGCTCATCGATTATATGAAATGAGACGTGAGGACAGAGCCTGTACCTGCAGGGACAGCCTGATCTTCTCAAACTCCTCTTCCAGAGACTTTCTCTGCTGCTCATGGGCCATCTTCAGATCTGACACAAAATCACATTTGAAATGCTCATAGTGAAAACAGTTGTATGAATCTTAGATCTGTGGTTCTTGTCATACTCTTGACAGTCCTGGTGTGCTCCTCCTGTAGCGTGGCCAGAGTGTCACTGTGAGAAGACTCCATCTCCATCAGAGACGCTTCATGATTCTCACTCATCTCCTCAATCTGGGGGCACAACAGAATATTAGAAAGGTAATAGATCCTGAAGGAAATTCTTACATTATTATATAAATATTGTTTACAGTATTAATATAAATATGAAATACATATTTTAGTAGCTATATTTACAGATGATTGCTGTTTGAAGGATAATAACTACACAATGATGGATTTGTTTAATTAGACCTCACAGTAAAGAAGGGGGTTCAGTGCATGAGCTGCTTTGCCTTGTAGTTGGCAGTATTGGGTGTGTCCATGCACCTGCTGCTGCTGCCTGTGCTGCAGCTCCTGGAGCTCTTGTCTCTGCTCCTCCTGGAGTCTCTGTGTCTCCTGTGAATGAGACAGGTTCAGTCTGTCCTCCAGAGCCCCCAGCTCTCTCTGCTGCTGCTCCCGCAGACCCTCCAGCTCGGCCTCAAAGCTCCGCTCCACGTCCTCCTTCTCCTGCTGCAGCTGCTCCCAGTGCGCCACGCTGAACGCTACACACACAACAAATCTCTTACAAACAGCTAACAAGGTCATGTGCACATCTGAACAATGGAACTCAATGTTTAAAGTCCATCCAGATACTTCTGGGGAGACATGTAATGTGAATATAAGGACTGTACGAATATTTACAACAACAATTTTTAACAACAAATCCAAGCTTGTGTCTGTGTCAGCTAAGATCAAACATTCTGGTACCACAAGACTGAGCACAAAATGGCAGGCGGCCCACACTGGCTCTTGACTAGTGCTAGTATCATTTATAATGGATGATCTAGAGTAGCTGGAGTTGCCAGGTCCCTGTGGAGGCACAGAGTGAACACTTACCCACTTCATCCCTGAGTCTGTCCAGCTCCAGAGCCAGCTCCCGCTCCTTCACGACAGCGCTCTCACTCTAGAACACACAACAAAGAGCACTCAACACAAACACTAAACACTAAGCACTCTGCTGCTATGGCCAAGAAAGACATGTGTTTCACTGTTTATTTTTAGCATAAAAGGAGTCGGCCAAATAATGTGAGCATAAATAAACCTGTTTGAGTCTGGGTCTGGACACTGATCCTGAATCTTGGCAGCACTGATCTGTCTCTTTATCACTGAGAGAGCCAAGATGAAGACTCCTGGCACAATCAATTCTTTAGAGATTCAGTAAAGGATAAATATTTCCAAATGCAGCTGTGCTTCACTTGTGCTGCGCTGTCACATTTTACAGTTTATAGAATCAAAGCACAACAGTCCAAACACTGGCTAGAAAACAACATTTCCGAGAAAGCAGAAAAACAGAAGTGAAAGATGTCTGAGTGTCTCCCCCGGATGATGTCATCAGGCTGAGGTCCTACAGGAGCCATCAGTGAACAGCCTAGAGCCACACCTATCCTATTACCCACAATGCCCCAGCCGCTCCAGACACCTTCCTGTTCACAACCCCAGAGAATATGTGACATGCATGATAATGACTGATCTAACCTTTCCTGTGTAATCCATATAATCACAGCGCACCGGGACGCACAGATCCAGCTTTTTAAAACCTGATGCCAGTTTTGATACTAAAGCTTCAAGTATCTGCCAAAACACAGAGCCAACAAAAACCAGAGCAGAGACTGAAAACAGCATTTATGTTCTTTATCCAAAAATAAAATAAGATAAAACTGATCCAAATGTGTCATGTATCTGTTATTTATCTCTCGAGTCACTACAGAACTTAGTATTAGAGCCGACCGATATGGATTTTGTTGTGGCCGATATGAAACTGATATAATGGGAGTTGGCGCTGCCGATAGCCGATATAATTGCCCATATATTTAGTGATGTAAAAATTCACTGTAAATCTTGAATTGTTTAAAAAACTTAGGTTTGGCTCTAGTGGATTCTAAATTGGGTTTATTTAGGCAACATTTATTGTTATTCTGACTCTTTACATCATATTTACATACAGTAGATTGGCCTAATGGCATTTTTGCATCACATTCTAGCTACTAGTGATGGGTATTCCAGTTTTGGCTCTTTTGGCTCGGCTCACTAAAGCAGCTGGCTTTTTTGGCTCCCAAGCGACTCTTGAGATTGTGTTGTTGCAAGCAGGACTAAACTAAAACTGAACCAGGACTGAAAAAGGACTAAACCAGGACTAAAACAGATTTAAACCATGTGTGAAACAGGACTAAACCAGAACTGAACCAGGACTGAGTGTCGGGACTCGGTCTCTATCTCTCTCTCAAGACCAAGATTAGTCCTGGTTTATTCATTTTATGCTGAACTGCAGCCAAATATGCACTTTTTTTTATCCTATGCACACGCATATTTCTGAAAGTTTCGTTTTCAGCCGCTGCTGCTGTCAAACTACGGTCTACAAGCGGCTTGAAGAGAAAAAGTGAGAAAAAGAGAAAACACGGCTCCCAATAAGAAACATGCTCCCGTTGTTCGCTCTAAGAGCCGCTTCGATCGCGACCGACCCATAACTCCTAGCTAGAAAACTATCGCTATTAGCCTTTAGCCGTAAAAACGTGCGCACCGCGGTAATTAATTATATGCATAAATGTGGATCATTCACACATCTATTCACAGCTCATTTACATATCAATGCTGGTCCAGTAGCAAATATACGGACAACACAGTCCCTTTACAATAGGCCAATAGAAAACAGCCTGTTTATGTGCGGGAGCTACAGCAGCTAACAGCTAACTAGCTTCAAAGTTAACATATTTCCAACACTCACTGCTCACACAGGCTCCTCCTCACATCACAAGTCTAATAAAAGTCCTTTTAATCCAGACTCAAGACGATTGTCCGTAAAAACAATATAATCTCAGTGTTGAGCACCGCTGCGGGTGTAAACAATAGCACGTGAGTGAAGTGACGTGACTCTGGGGGTGTGTTCAGGGACAGTACTGACACAGACAAATTACACCGCAAATAAATACTGATGCGGAGCCACATATTAGGACATTTATCTGTCTATAAATTGGATTATGAACATAATGTAGAGAGTCTAAGATTTATAACGAGGTATAACATGCCCACGTGAAATATCGGCCCATATCAGCAAGCATATTGCCCGATAGCCGATATGTCTCCAGGTGCCCATATTGGCCGATAATATCGGCCAGCCGATATATCGGTCGAGCTCTACTTAGTATACATAAAAATTCAAATATTATGAGACTTTCTGAGCCAAGGACAACCTGTAGCTGTAAACAGTCTTACTACATCAATTTATATGTCCAAACAGGATATTGGCTGAACCGATATTTGGAGGCTGATATCGAATCCAGCAAAAATTTTCATTGATACCGTCCGGTACCAGTATTGGATCAGTGTGTCTCTGCTAGATCAAAAGGACTACAGACTATACAGACAATACAAACAGCTATTATGATAAATACACAAATATTAAAAACATGTACACTTGGTTTGAGTCTCAAGTATCCCAAAGACCAACTCAAGTCTGGCTTATCTTTTAACTTAACTCTTAACTTACGTCTGTCAAAACTACTAAAAATAAAAATTAAAACTAGTATCGATATTAGATACTCATTTAAGCAGGTATCAATATTAAAAAAGCCACATTTACAGGACACAAACAAATCCTGAAGAGCTTTAGAATAAGCTTAGATATGAGGGATTACACAGATATAAGACCACATGTGAATATAAAAGAAAGCAGTATGATTTAATGCTGAAAATCACATTCTATTGTCTAAATAAAGAGCGTTTTTACTGTCACTGTAGTATCAGAACCAGTATTGAGTATCTATTCCTTAGTTTGATAGCACTACTGAGCTTTATATCATATTTTAGTCAAATGTTCTAATCACAATCAGTGGCCACAAAGTTAAGAAACAATAACTGTCCAGGCAAAGCAGGAAAAATGACTCTGAACTAACAGCAGGATCCAGTTCACTTAAGTGCCACCCAAACGAAACAAGACGAAAATAGCCTCTAGCGCCTCAGTCTCTCGGAACATCACTTGATTAACCTCTACAAAGTCGGCTTCCACGTAATGAGTCCGGTTTCCGAGGGATCAGGAAATGGCCTGGATCAAAGAAACAGAGCTCAACAAACACAGAACAACAAGAACAAGAATCTTCCAGGTCAAATCGATATTATTTGGCAAGTTGGCAAATTGCTGCGTTGTAACAAGCTTTGTAAAATGCAGGAGCTGAATATATTACATTTACAAACATGAATTTAATCTCAACAACCATAAAAAGGCATACTGATTCATCATGGAAACCGTCTGACCTCGCAGCATCAGGATTCATTCACTTGACGGTAAGTGAGTACTTTTTTTAATTTAACCAATCGCTGCTATTTGGTTGTGACGTATGTAATGCGCCACTAACAGGACTAACTGGTATATTAAGCTTTTCCCAAATCCCGTAGGAAGAAGGACAATAACGTCTTTCCCCTTGATAAAATTCACCAAACATTCTCTTTGTTCTGCCTTTAAATCCTCAATCTCGGGAATCGTTGCCAACACAGAATGTATGGCTTTGTCTACATCCATCTCGACCGCTTTGTTTACTGTTGTGCTATACCACAAAAGGGACCCAAACAGGCACTTGAGTTTGACGTCATGGCTGCACAGCTCTTCACCGATTGGCCGGTGCGTGGTCTATAACTTCCAGGGTTCTTGCAAACCGTCTAGTGTATTCCGATTCCTGACCTAGTCACTGGAGAGAAATTAAATTGAGTGCAGGCACAAGGTGGTGCCAGTCTGGATAATAAAAAGGTACATTTTTATAAAAAGTTTTAGAATCAGACATTTTGAATGATCACTAATAAAAAGATCTCTCAAAATCTCGGGTTGTCAATCGTATTGAAACCATGATACCAACTAATACTAAATCTAATATTGAAACCAGATAGTCATTTGAGTAGGTTTTTGATAATAAAAATGTCACATTCGCAGGACAAAAATGAACCTTTCTTGAATAGATTTAGAAAGATCTTGAATTGCATCAGAACAAGTACAAGAGCACATAGACTAGTATACGCCCATGGACCACTATGGAACCTGCCTGGACCACTCAGGGATTACACAGATATAAGACCACATGGGAATATAAAAGAAAGAAGTATTATTTAATATTGAAAATCACATTCTTTTGTCTAAAGAAAGAATGTGGTAAATCATTGTGGTATTGGTCTTGAGAATTTTTAGTATTGAAATCAAGTTTGAAATTTTAGCATCTACAATAGGCTACTCTCGTCTAGGACCTGGACTCCCTTGAAAGAGATTCTTAATCTCGAAGGGACTATCCTGGTAATACCTTCCTGTGCGCCTTATCCTTGTAATGTATTCATGGCCATAAACATTAGACAAAGGCTTTAGAAAAGGCCTGACAAAAGAACACAGCAGCCGATCATATCCTGTTACATAACATTCCAGTAAATTCTAAGCGAGTAGAGAGTGTGAGGCATGCCATCTTTGACTCAGCATCTCTGCCACAGCTTCAGTGTGCTCTGCTCTGTCTCTAGGATACAGCAGCGTGTGAACACACATGCGCACATCCTCCCATCATAGCATTAGCATTAGCTCCACAGCCCCCTCCCCACACAAGCATCGTTTTACCGCTCGCTCCAGGAATGGGTGAGGCAGGACGAGGAGCCGGCAGCAGCGGGGGCCCATACTCGGCTAGCGACGGGCAGCATCCCTCGGCCGTGAGAGCCTCCGGAAGAGAGAGGAAAGAGAGAGGAGAGAGGGAGAAGAAAGAGAGGAGAGAGGGAGGCTGAAGCGGAGGAGGAGAGAACACTACATCCTCACCTCGGCCCTGGTGCTGCCGTTTGCACCAGAACAAAGAGTGAAGCCACAGCTCAGCTCCGTCTGCCACAGCTCTGCCCTTCTGAGCGTCAACGCTCCACGTAACGCTAAGAACAGACTCCCACACACATGGACTGTCTGTGCGGAGGAAGAGGGGGAGGAGCTGGGATCAATAGGCGACCGGCGTTGTCCTCTCTCACTCCGCTCACTCCGTTTACATGAATAAAATCAAGTTCGTTCTTTAGCTGTTGCCTGTTGCTGTGTTTTTCACTGTTGTGACATGATTTTGTTTTGTATGAAAATGAATTGCTCTGAGCCTTAGTGCGGTACTGCCCTGATCAATATTCATATTCATTATATTTATGCCCCACAATAACTGAGATCCTAAGTAGGGCTGGGTATCATTAAGAAGTTGCCAGTACAATACATACCTTGATATGGTGAGCGTACTATTCAATACGATGCATTTCAAATCGATTTGACATGGTTCAGTAAAAACATAAAGGCTAAATCATGGCTGTGATACTGAAAGTCTTTGTTAAACCACTTCTTGTGCAAAGTGAATATGAAAAACATTTTAATCATCAAAACAGTGAAAATGTCAAATGTACTGCATAAACCTTCCTTCCTCTAAACAAACAACAAAACTGTAAGAAAAACATTTAGTAAAATATACCAAAAAATACTCTTGTATCATCACATTAAACAATATGATATATCAATATTTCGATATTTCTGCACACCCCTAATCCTAAGTCTAAGTGCACATCAGAACTACACAGCTGCACCATCATCATCAACTCTGCCACATACATGTCATATGTGCTGCCACATTACACCTTTAGCTCAGAGCAGGTGCCCAAAGTGGAGCCCACAGGGAAAGGGGCCCTCCAGGGGTTATAATGAGGCCTGTGAGGATGTTTTGAGATTTTAAGAAAAATATATTTTGATTTGATTTTGCATTAAAAGATGATGGGGAGGAGGTCAATTCTATCTATTTCTCAATATTTAGTCAATTAAATCAGACATTTCTTTGTGGAAGAACATGTTAATGTGCAAATTGTAATTATCCCTCTACCCACTAATGTGCAATCATTTGGCCACTGAGGATAAAATTTTGGTCACCCCTGGCTTTGAGCCTAGTGTAGAAGTACAATGTTTGGATTGTTATCCACTCAGGCTATTTGGGGAAACCCTTTCTCTGAATGAGCTAATTACTCCAGAATTGACAGAAGTAACCTGATTATTATTAAAAAATGAAAAGAAGCACTGAATATCTAAAGCAGCAGCAACTGTGGCACGGCAGAAGCCTGAGAAAAAGCCCAGAGACAGTCCATGACAAGCAGCAGGACGTCTTCTATTTCTGTCAGGCAAAATATCAATACAGCAGCACAGAGTAGGAGCAGCTCACACAGGTAATCACATTACTGCCCCACTGAAGCACTGTGGGTGGGGCCAGTGAGAAAAGCAGAAACACAGAACTGACCAATCACCAACAACTAACGCAGCACCCACATTCTCAGAGTCAACAACAGAATACAACCTCTTTTTCTCAGGACCAGGCCACAACATTTGAGAATATCATCAAACACAATCCTCCAACACAGCTATATAATGCTCTTGTTTTATGTTTTGCCTCTTCAACATTAGTGATAAAACACTATATGTAGATTTAATTATGCTAGTTGAGGTCACAAAATGCTGAGTGTGACTGTTCTAGTAATGGTGCATTTCAGATATTAAAAACTTGGACTCAGATCTTACATCAGGGGACACAACAAACTGCCCCACATCAGACCTGCCAAGACACCAGCCAGACTCTTCTGCATTCTGTCTGAATCCAGAAGGGATTGGAATCGATCACAGTGAGAAAAACCTTTGTCCTAACTGGGAACGGTCCAACCACAGCCACTATGTTGTATCAACTGTCTCTCAAATGCAGAAGACAGAGCAAGTGATTGGTTAATCTGCCTGTCAATCACACCCTCTGGAATTGGGTGACAGAATATGATTTGAGACCCACACGTCTTTGTAATGTTTTGTCAAAGTGTGTGGTTCTGGCTCGACATGTTTAGTGCCTTTATTTTGGATTCTTGGCCAAAAAAGCAAACCAAACACAAGACACTTTCAAAAAAGAATTACCCATGATAAATTAGTCTGGCACAGAAGTTTAAATCATTGCTTCACTTCTACACAAAATGAGCATGACATGAGCAAACATTGAAAAGTGGACAGCAGAATGGAGACTCTTTTGGACGAAGGTAAAACCCAGATCAGTCCTGAGTTGTATCACACAGTAATATCCCGTAGTGTCAGAGCGCATGGACATTACCTTGTGGCAGAAGTGCTGTGTGGTGATGGTGAACACGTCCAGGCACAGGGAGGCCTTGTGCAGCTGAGCCTGTAGAGTCTGCAGCTGCAGAGCCTGCTGCTCACAGCGCCGCTGGAGCTGCTCCATCAGCTGTCTGTCTGTGTCCTGAGAGCGCAGGGAGCCGTGCACCACCATTGTCCGAGCTCGCACTAAACACACACAGACACACACAGGTGGGCTGCTTATCTGACTGTAATACAACTCATCTGTGTTTATTTGTATCTACTTGTTCTAGAAAGTGCTTTTGAATAAACACCCATTAGTACACTGTTCATATGACAGATTATAGTAAAGGTCCATCTGTTGTACTGATAGGCAAGTAACAGAAAACACAACATGAGAACTATGAGACGGATGTTTGCCTTACAGCTACTGTATCCTGTTGCTATGGTAACAGCAGGCAGGCCTGCAGCGTGGCTTTAATCAAATTTTCGATGAGCCTCAAGACAGTACATCTGTGCACTTTAGGTACAGTGCAAGTATTTGTACCACACAGAAATATTCATACGTACACATAAAATCACCTTTTCTCAAATGTTCTTCTCTAAATGTACCTAGAATCCCCTTCCTCAGAATGTTTTTATGTGAAGATTCTAAAATATTTTAACATACAAAGCTAAATCCAAAATGGCAGTTCATTTTAAAGTATTTTGTTGGTTGTTGTATTCAAATGTAACACACATGAAAGATGAACTCACTGGGAGACTGGGGTTTGGGTGAAATCATTGCAAATCTCTTTGGGGAGGCCTTGGATGGCAGCACCGCCTCAGGCTCCTCTCTTTTGGACGCTGCAACAGCAGAAAAAACACAATGTCACAGAATTATTACATGAATCCAAACCATTCAGCTGAATTACGTAAAACTTTTTATACTAAGTACCACGAGTTTCATGTTTTTCCTATATATATGTGTGTATAAACGTCCACTGCATTGCATTACAAAAACTATCCACAAGCCGGAGCTGCTCCCCCACTTTAAAAAAAATATTGAGTTATACTTGTTACTCCTCTTATAGCCACTGGGTGACGCTCAAAGCCTGGCATATCCCCTGCAGGAATCTAGACTGAAGAAGGTGCAAAGTAACAACAAAGAGGCTGCATCAGCACACAGCACCATGTGGTCTGTAACTGATGCAACGCTCAGCAACTTTTGAACAGATGAAAATGTCGTCTTCATCATTTTGAGATGCACAACACAAAACATGACAACCTAAGAATGTGAACTGTCAGAATAATGGACAATATGTCACTGGTGATTCCACAGGGTTGAGAAGAAACATCATGGCTTAACAAGTATTCACAAATGCTGACTCCTTATTTTGTGTTCTTTCATATTATCTAAAGATCTGTGAATCACAATCTTTCCCTTTCCCTCCAATCCTCCCCTATTTGACCCGGACAAAATCTGGGCCCTCTTTGTCTAAAACTGCAGCCCCACAAAAACATTACTTGTTTAAATTCCCGTACCCCATGTAATTTAATAGGATTTTAACTTTTTTTCATTTGCACAAATTATTACTTCAGAGGACCCTGCTCCACCACGGCTTCAAAATGTGGTCAGATGCATCAAATCTAGTTCCCTCAATAAGAATTTAATTAATATGACATAACCCAGACGAAAAAAAAACACTTTACTTTTAGATTTACTTAATTACTTACTTGTACTTCTAAAATAATACTAATGATTATAATAAATGCATCTTGGTGCAGTTTGGCTCACGCACAGTCAATAATTAACACTTTTAATAAGTTATAGGAAAACTCTAAGACCAAAGTTGAAGTATCTCTGGCCTACGTTTATATTATTATACAATAAGGCTGGTAAAAGTGTCAGAAAATACTACTGCAAGTGAAAAAAACACAAAACACACTGCATACTTGTACCCAGGATTTAAGAGAGTGGAGAGCAAGCTAGCGTTTAAAGGCTTACAGATTTGAATTTCAATCCTGTGAGAGCATTTTGAAATCTTAAACTCAACATTTTGTGACAGTAAGCACTTCTTTGATAGTTCCCAGTCTTAATCCTCCCTCCACTGACTCCACTGACTCCACTGACTCCACTGTTTAATGGACTGGAGTTATTTCTGGGACCACCTTTGGGACGTGTAGCTTGTGAGGAGTCTTACGTAGAGGGGAGCTGCGCTGAGAGGGCAGGGAGCGCCGCTGGAGGCTGGGGGCATTGGGAGGATGGGGACGTCCTGCTGCATGGGCGGAGTCAGCAGGGGGCGCTGTGGCTTTGTGGTGAGGGGCGTCATCACTGCCACTGCCTGGGTCTGCAGAGAGAAGAGCACAAGAATCTTTAGTTGAGTTTATGTCACACTGAAATCTGTGGTAGCTGGACCACATCTTGAAACATTTTTGAATCAGAGCCACAGACAAGTGATCAATGCTTTGACAGAGATATTATATAATACTAAGGCTTGAAAATCATTCATTTCAGGTCAATGCAATGCGATGTTTGAGGTTAAAGTGGTAGAATTTTTTTAAATTACAGTAAAAGTATTGCTTACTGGGCCAAAAGGAGACCTGAGGGTCAATAAAAACTGTTCTGAGGGCCGCATTTGGCTCACGGACATCTCTCTGCTAGACAAAATACTTAAAGTGCATATAACATGTTTTGATGATTCTTTAATTTCTGCTTAATTTGGTGCAATAATACGTCTGTTGTAAATGTAACTTATAGTATTACACCAACCGAGACATAGTTTGTGAAGAAACAATGAAAAATATGTTGAAAATGACACAATATAGGCACGATTTATACTTCCGAAACACATTTTTCTGATACTTTAAGCATGACTTCAGCAAAATAAAGGTGTTTTCTCATCGTTTTATTTGTCAAATAATAATCGATGTGCACAGTAGAGAAGCTTTGGCCTACTCTACATCATAGTTGCTAGGTAACAGTTATGAAATTCCCTAGTGTCATGTCATGATTTCCAGCCATGAAGTCAAATCATGGAGAAAATGGGAAAGAAAGTGTAAAATTTTTAGTAAAATCTTAAATATAATGATGTTAACTGTGTTTTAGTAGAATGTGTAGTCCAAACTATCAACCTATCAAGCAACAGAGCTAATATTTTTAGCAGTCACAAGAAATGGTGTAGCTTTAAGCGCCACAGCGAGACTTAATTGACGTACAGTTAGATATCTATAAAACATTAACCAGTATTCATTTATTAGTGTACAAAGTTAGGCAAAATTATACATGTACAATGGTAATAGGCATTTAATTAATTAAATTCTATCTGATTCATCAAATTATTCTGGACAATGCGTGTGATTCAGAAATCCCTTGGCGAGCTACTAGGAAGGGAATAGAGACCTAAAGGTTGGACACTCCTGGTCAAGTTCTAGCATACAGTTTTAAGATGTATTAGGGTACAAAAGGAGGTCTTTCAAGGCAAACTCTTCTGCTTTCAAAACTCCACTGCCCGATTCCTCACACAGACCCAATCCCACGAACATATCACCCCTCTGCGTATCCACTTCAAAGACCTCCTCATCACTTTCAAAGCTCTCCACAACCAGGTCCCATCCTCCCTCTCGGACATGCTACACCTCCACACTGCATCCCACTACCTCCGCTCCTCCGACACCAACATCCTGTCCCTCCCCAGAGTGACCGAACCCCGAACCTAAGGAAACGGATCCTTCTCCATCGCCGCCCCCGCCCTCTGGGAACCACTGCCTCAGCAAAACCGTGACTGTACTGAACTTTCCAGCTTCAAGAAACTGCTCAAAACCCATCGATTTGTTTTAAAAGAAGCTTTGTTCTTACTTATAGATAAATTGTAATCTATTTATCTATCAGTTTTAGTACGTTGTCTTGGAAAAATTGTATCTATTATGATCTTAGCCAAGCGTGATGAATGAATTTAATTAATTATTTACACTGCACTGCAGCACTTTAACACTTTATTTTGTAATTGTGTTTTAATACGTGTTTATTTTATGTACTGTGGATGGATGAAATGTGAAATGTGGGACCTGCTTCTCAAATTTACCTACAGGTACGAATAAAGCAACCTAACCTAATCTATTTAGACCCACTTTTAATTGTCTAACCTGCTTTCAATCATGCCTGTATTTTGTGGCATTATCACATTTTTAAATATGTACTTTTTAAACTGTATTCTTTGTACAGCATCTTTGAGTGTTTGGAAAAATTATTATTATTGTAGAAAATGAAGAGTGCAGTGAAGTCATGTCGACATCTTAATTATTCATAGCAGCTGTTTTTGCCTCTGGCTGCTGAGAATGGAGGCATTAGCAAAAAAGATGCATTTGTATTCACTTTAAGAACGTTAAGCAAACCTCCATTTAGTAAGAGGCGTATTGGTTCAGATACACAGTTAAATAAAGTGCAGTATTTTTCAGATGATAAGGTGCACCAGATTATAAGGTGCAATATCAATAATGTTGAGTTCTCTCGTCTATTTTCATACATAAGGTGCACCGGATTATGAGGCGCATTAAGCGAAACAAACGGACGACACCTGAGACTGATCCCTTAGCTCAGGAGTCCACGATCCATTGGCAGATCGTGGTGTAATTGTCTCCCTGTCTTGGTGAATGTGTATTATGAATGTGAATGTGGGTGGATCATTTAAGTTTATTTTTTATTCCTACAAGGAGGATTCAAATATACATTGAGTAATCATGTGTTTAAAGCAGCTTTGTGCACATTTGTTTACATTTTACAGAAACAAAACTTAATTTGCATAAACTACAGCTCACTCCTTGTGCGCTTCTGTCAGACTAAAACCGTAATGCTCCAACAATCCATCAAATAGTGCGGCTTCGTAGTTTACCAAAGTCGTACTAAAACATTTTGACAGATTTTGAGCTTCGTGTTACCACATAAAATTGGTTCGAGGTCAGTAGGCACAACTAGAATTAATACAAAAGGCGCACCGGATTACAAGGCGAGAAAATCAAAGGATTTTAAGTGCGCCTTATAGTCTAAAAAATACGGTAAATGCATTATTCTGTTACAAGTAAGACTGTGAGTCAAATGCCGCTATTGTCATTGATGCAAAAACATTTAAAGGATCACTACTATCTGTGCTCGGAATCAATTTGGGCTGTGATTGTGAGCTCAGATCAAATTTCCTGTCTTTAATTATTCAGTTCCTCGATCAATAGCGGTGATGCTGCTCTAGCACGGACCGGTTCATCCACAGATAACACTTGTAATAAAGAAAGAGAGAAATAACGCAAGCTGTTTTGATGTAGTGTGCAGCAGTGAGAGCCCCGGGCCTGTGAAGCCTCCTGTGGGACGTGTGTAACTGTACTGCTGCAGCACGGTCTGTTCTGCAGGGACTGGCACAGGCTTTGCTCCACATGCGACTTACACGGGAAAGAGGAAGAGGGAGGGAGAAAGAGAGAGAGATTAGGAGACAGAGAGCTAACTAGTCGTAGCCTCGTGAGCAAATCCATACTCTGCTGCCAGCGCTTTTCATTACAGCACTTGTTTCAACCTGCAAGCCACAGCCAACAACACTTGAACAAAATGTGAAATAAATTGTCATGTATGAAAATGGAAATGCACATACACATACAAAAATATACTAATGGATTATATAGATTCTAGATTCTTTTTTTTTTTAAGAACGCTCAAAGGATGAAATATTGCTGTGGACAATAAAAGTTTGTCCAAATGTCCATGACCTTCCTTTTCAACTGTGCTCCATTTCCGGTTGTCATGTAAAAATACTGATAATCACCCAACTATGGAAATGTTATACACTGCTATAATTTTAACACAGTTCAGTTGACATTGAGCTGCAAGTTTACATTGCTGCAGCTGTTGGTGTGTGTTAGTAGTACAGAAGATAAAACGATGAGGATGTGTCAGAGAGTGCTCTTATGTGTATCGCAGCTGGGATTAGATCTACCCCCACTGACCCAAAACAGTCGATGAAAAAGAATCAATGATCTGTTACTGTAGATTCCCCAGAAGGAAAAAGTGTGAAGAAAAATGAATGAATGAATGGAACTGGACACGATGTCACTGTCGCTTTAGACGCTACTGAAGAGGTGAAGCTAAAACAATGGAGAATACTGAGATGTCCAAACTAACTCTTCGCTTAACAGACCTTATAATAGATACAGCAAGTGGAAACAGTAAGTTTCAGTGCAAGAGAAATTTCTGAACTCCATTCTGGCAAGAACAACAAAATGCAACTAAATGACTAATAAAAATGAATGCACTACATGTGTGGTGTAAAAAATAAGAAAGAACAGGCCACACTTGTTCCAAGTCTCAACACGTACATGGCCCAGGAGGGAGTAGTACAGGGACACACCTCATGTTTACATCAAACACATCAAATGTTAATATGAAATCTGTAGAGAACACAAAACATGCACCTAAGACTAAATCATGTACACTACTGATGGAAATCAGATTCAAATGAACTAACTTACATAACTGCTGGCTGGGCTCTTCAACAACTGGAAAAAACAATTTTAAAAAATGAACTATGTATCTGAGTAAAGCGTAAAAAGAACTTTTTTGAATATCAAAATTGAAAAAGAGGTTAAAACTGGATAGTTTGGTCCAAATCCACATTATGTGTCACAGAGGTTCATCTGCAGGTCTCATCTTTTCTAAAATAAAGTGAACTGAGCTCTGAGCCTCAAACAGGTTCTGCCTCAGCGGTCCCACCCCTTCAGGTTCAAATACAAATCTGAACAGAGAGGTGGAGGTGAGAGGGGTGCACCTATAATACACACACACACACCCACAAATACACACGCACACACACAAACGTACATACAGTTACATGAAGGTGTAAATAAATCTGTCTTTCATTCTACACCAAATATGTTTCTTGATACAGTGCATATAGTTGTCATGCACCAGTGAATATGATCCAGGAAAAATAAGAAAAAATGTGTAATTAAAAAAGAAAATCCTGCTGTTACATGTTTTAAAATAAAAACATGCATTTTGGGCATTGTTTTGGCTGCGACACACTATGAATCCATCCAGTTCTGTAAAAATACGGTATAAAAATGACACTTCTGGGTTAAGCGGCGAGAGACAGAAGGGAGAGCTAAATGTGTCAGAATTCACATGGGAAGAGAAAAGGCACTGAGCAGATGCCACCATTGACTTATCACATCTGCCTGTCAGCAGCATTCACTTAACACCGCATGAGTGTTAAATAAGACAAAATACAGACATCACCAACTGTGTCCTTCATAAGAGTACGTCTTTAACTGAGTGGGGACAGCACATTAGTATAGCTGCTCTAAAATGACACAACTTCTGCTGCCATTTATCCTGCTCGCTGTGGTACAGTGACATTTTGCTTCGACAGTCGTTTTGACACTTTTCTGAAATTAATTTTATATAGTGCGATTGCGATGTTCAAACAGGAAGAAACAGACGGATCCTGAGCTTCTTTTTTGGTAAAACCTTTTTTTTTTAACTCTATTTCAGATACAGACAGAGGAAAGTCTTTTTGTTATGAGTTTCAGAACGTGCAGTAAAACTATTCTCTTTTAAAGTGAATGTTATAATGATTATTTATGTTTTCATATGTTCGTATTGTGATTTTAATGCCTTTTTTATTCAGTAAAACACTTTGAATTAGTCAGTGGTGGAAGGTAACAAGGTGTAAAGTACAAATAGTAGATTTTTTAAGTATCTGTACTTTACTTAAGTACATTTTACAGTGGGTACTTTTTATTTTATTTCACATTTGAGAGCAGGTATCTGTTCTTTTTACTCCACTACATGTTTGAACTGGACTGAAAAGTAAAAAGTACTTTTCGAATGATTTTAGAGGATATTTTACCATGTTTGTGGTAACATCCTGACTATTTTATTTTTATTCGAGCTTCAGCTTTGAGCAAACAAAAATAAAATTCATGAGAAAAATTAAGAAATTCACTGTTGGTTATGAATATATGTATCATTTTAATCAATTTCACTATATTTAAATTAATTAAAAACATAAGAACTTTTTAGAGATGTTTAAATTGTGTTTTTAAGCAATTTTTTTCAGTTTTTCAGGTGATACTTTTACTTTTACTTGAGTAACTTTTTACCTCTGTATCTGTACTTTAACCTACTTATGACACAAAACTGAGTACTTCATCCACCACTGAAATTACTTTGTGTATAAACTGTGCGATACAAATAAACTTTCCATGCCTGTAGTGTCTGCGTTTTGTTCGGTTTCCATCTTCCATGTGCTGCTCATGGATTTCCCCAGACGCTCTTTAAAGTTGAAGAGCGCGCTGAAGCATTAGACACAGAGCTGCTGCCCTCCCTCCTCCTTTTGTTCTATCACATTGTTTCTTCTGTAAATGATTTTCTCGCTTGTCTGAGAATAGTGTCTTTGCTTTAGTGACACATTCTCAGACATTATCCTTGAAAGCACAGTTATGGACTCTTAAAGTGGAATTTAATGGCAATTCAAAACTCAGCAGTAAATATTATGGGCTATAACGAGTTTATTAATGTTGGCCGCCTGATGCAGGGGACAGACTGCAGTGTCAAGGCTAATCAAGGACAAAATATTAAACATTTTCATAGTACTGCACAGTTGAGACTTAATGGATAATAATAAGTTTAAATTGTGTATCACCCATAGCAGCTTAACATTCATGAACTAAGATGCTATTGGTGTAAATAGTGTAAATAGAAGATAAGTAAGTAGTAGTAAGTACCGTATTTTTCGGACTATAAGTTGCACTTTTTTTCATTGTTTGGGTGTTTCCTGCGACTTATACTCCGGTGCGATGTATATTTTCAAATGTTCACACTGACAGTCGTGAGAGGCTCTAGGCTTGTGTGTCAGTATCTGCTACTCCTGTTACTCCTGTACCATTGTCACTTGGCTCTACTGCGCATGTCTCCTGCAGAAGAAGCCACTGTCCTGCTGTAAGTAGCAAAATATGCAGTCAAAAACGGTAATTGAGCAGCAAAAGAAAAAAAGAAAGTTTGGAGTGAGCTAGAAATTTGTGAGGGACTGGCGGAAAGTGGGGATGGAATCTGACACCAGCTACTGTACGTAGAAGAGGAAGCGGCGCTCTCCGTTTACCTCTGGAGGTCACTGAGTTGCTCAGAAGTGACACCAAGGATGAAAAATTCAATGGATTTAGTGATTTGGAGTGAGATGGAGAGTTTGGTAACCTTGTTCTGTTCTGTTGTTTATGTTATAGTTATCTGAAGAGCATTATATGTGACATTAACAGCCTGTTATTCTTTCAAGATGAAATGTCGGTCCCTGGTCTCTGAGTATCAGTGCGACTTATAGTCCGGTGCGACTTATATGTTTTTTTCTTCTTCATTACGCATTTTTGGCCCTGTGTGGTTTATACTCCGGAGCAACTTATAGTTCGAAAAATAAGGTAGAAGAAATGTAATAAATAGTAGAAAATATAACATTCTAGTAATAAAGTTATTGTTTCTGGGAGACTGGTGTTGACTTAGGGTGTCTTTACATCAGTTATAAATTATAAATAATATTTTCTGCTAGTAGTCCAAATCCCAGATGTATGAAGTGGACAACGTCAGGATGGGCACCTGGAGTAAAATGATGTCAAATCAATGTGCAAATGACTGACGCTTGTGATGCACATGAGAAGTTATGAGAAGTATTTGGTGTGGAGAGTAGCAGGAGCAGTACTCACGCTGAGAGGGTCTGAGGGCGTCGCTGTGGCAGCTTTCACTGGACTGGTTACTGGACACAGAGGAGACGCTGGAGCTGCGAGTGAAGCCGAAAGCGGCGAGTCGGGACGGGGGCAGAGCTGAGAAGCCAGGGGGACGCAGACCAGACTGACCCGGCTTCAGCACCATGGGCTTGGGGCTGCTGTCTGCTCCTGACCGCCTCTGATCTACTGATGCAGCAAAGAATACAATTAGACAGACAGACAGTTTATTAATCCCGAGGGAAATTAATTTTGCAGTTGATGTTGCTGCAGCATTTCCACTATGCGTCTCAGCGGTCTTTGTGTCTCAGTCAAAGGTCTCAGAGCAGTTTAACAGGAGGACTGGTTAGGTGGGCCACATATGGTGTAAAAAAGCCTGTCGAAAACTCAAATGTCTATGGATACAGGAAAAACAAACAGCTCATTTAACAAAATCCAAAAGTCCTTTACTTTGAACTGCACCTGCTGCACTTCTTAGTTGGTTAAAATCTCATGACAGGATGTTAAACTGTCAGGATGTTATAAGGGTGGATTAATATTTTTTTTCTTCTTCCCGCTCCTTTTTGAGTTGTTTATAATGTACATGCAGTATGTATATGATTAGTGTTTCCCTCTTGGCACAAACTCAAAATAAAAACGAATCAATAAATTAAAAACTGAGCTCAAAAAACAAAACGTTTCAAAATCTGAGCCAGGCAGCCACAAAAGCAGCCAACCAAAAAAGGATATTTGTTTAACTTCCATATTTATTATAGATATGCAATGAGGCTGCAACAAGTTTAACAATTATATGATATCACAATCTAACAGATTATTGAAATGACTGATTTAACTCATTTAATTTATTAAATTCAATGATCGTTGTTTGGAATCACATAAAAACGAAATGTGTAAATGTCTGTAACTGTTCTTCATCAGGTCTTCAAGACACGCCACTTTAGTTCATTTTAAGGGGTAAACTTAATTAAAAAATATATCATATTCACAGGCCTAATGTGAATAAATAAATAAACAAAAAAAACAACTAATTGAACAACCAAAAGAATAATTACTGGATTCATCGATTAGCATAAATAATCATTAGTTTCAGCCCTGTAAGCATTTTTGCAACTGAATGACTTCAACTGAGAAAAAAAACAGCAGCGTCAATCCAGTCATTCAAATTCAAAAGTATAGTATAAAACTTTTCTAACAAACACTTCATCACCTCGATGTACTGAGAAGGAAAAAGGAGTCTCAAAGCATCACATGCTCTGAGTCTGCACGTCACAGAGCTGAGGTGTCAGAGGCAAAATATGAAGCTGTGAGGGAACTGTACTCAGAGGTTGAGCATTATGATCACTACTAAAAAACTAAACAGCATAATAGGCAAGTGTATATAAATTCAGAATGTTTTAAAGTAAATATTAGTGTATTAGTGTCTGGAAAGGGGGCAGATAACGTAACATTACTCTTGTTTCTGCTCCTTTTCATTCATTTCTTGTATGTGTAACGTTATGTCACTTGTTCACCTCTTATTGAATAAACAAATAAATAAAAAATAAAAAGTAATACAGCATGTAAGTAGCCCTGAAATGTTCCTTTAAGTGTTATTTCCTCACCTGTCGCCTCATGGCAGTCTTGCGTCGCTGCATTGTGTCTCTGAGCAGCCTGCTGGACTCTGGTCTTGGCAGTCGGCTGTCGGGCTCCTAACCCGAGCTGAGGCCTGAGAGCTCTGGGGGAGCGGTACACACTGCTGCTGCCATCCTGGGAAACATTCTGTAGGAAAGATCCATTAATTTAGCAGGGATGGGACAAGTAAGCATTAAACAACAACTACGACTCCACAAAGTGCTTTAAAACTGCATAACGCCAAGTTCCAAGTTGTAAAATGTGTTTATACCGCGGCTACAAACTGAAATGTCTCACTTGTGAACGTGAAAAGCCTTTTAACTGTCTGTAAATGTCAAAAACATCAGTCATTTCAATGTTAGTTATGTTCTACCCAAGAACTATAATAAAATCTGGAAGGTGAACCCAAGATGGCATCGTATTGTTTTTAATGGCTCATTGGCGCATGGGCCCAAAAAAATGTTCTCCTCCGCATTTTCTCTTCCACATTTACTTTCTCAATAGAGACGTGGACCTGTAACATGTACGGCGTGTTGCGTTTGGACCAATCAGAGCGAAACCTGCAACAACGAAGCAAGCACGGACTCAGAGTGGAACTAGGAGAAGTCTTACAAAGCTAACTTTTAGGCATTTTGAGGATTTAAAAATGTGAAAAAGTTTTTGTTCTGAAAGTAGAAAAGAATCCCTACAAAATCCAACCTTTGTGAAAGTTGTCAATGCCCTGTCAGCCGAACACGGGCAGTTTGAATTCCCAAAACATGTAGTCTTTCTGGGTCCAAGCTCCCGGGAGCTGCAGTACCTGGAGCGACCACTAGTTGGTCTCGACCCGGGACAGAGTTGGAACACCTTGTCCAGTTTTTATTATAGATCCATGCATTCTACCCACAGCCGGAACTACTTGTGCGTTAGACACTGAAATTCTCACTGACGATGGAGTAATAAACAATAATATCATGTATCGTGACAATAAGTGTACGCAATAATAGTTCGTGAGACAGGTTATATAATCATGATAATCGCCAACAAAGGTAATCGCCATTTTATCACCAGAATGTGCTGAAAAAAGCTACTTATCCTTGATGTTTTCTTCTCGATCATTGTTGTTTTCACTCATAACAAAGTACAATTCAATGCAGTTGTTTAAATATGGAACTTATTCATAATATTAAAAGTATAATTAATCATATGCAAAACATTTTTAAACTGTCATCTTATGATATAATAGTTAATCACAATTATTTTAACCATGATAATTGCGACAAAAAATTAGAATATGGTACCATGCCTATAATTTACAAACTTAGCTGCTATGGTGATTATAAATAACAACTTTTATTCTCTCTCACCTCTTGATTGCATTCATCTTCATGAAAACTGCCCGACTTGCTGCCCAGGCGATTTGCTGCGGCTCCTGCTCCAGCCTTGTTCATCCCTGGTGGGTAGAAGCCCGTCTTTTGGATCTCCTGTCTGTATTTATCAAAGAGAATGTTGGAGGACGTGACCGCTGGTGTAGCCTTTGCTGGTGCTCCGTAGTTGGGCAGGTCTGGTTTGACTTGAGGACTCTTGCGCACGTAGGTGATGATCTTGGGCCGCACGTTTTTCTTGGGTTCTTCTTTCTGTGGAGCTGCGAGCGCTTTGGGGAGGCTAGTGTTGGGGCAAGTCTTGGGCAGTTTGACCATCTGATTTAGAGGCGATTCGCTGCGTTCTAGACTTGGGGCTCTGACGCTTTGAACTTTGGCTGGTGAGTTGGGCGAGGGCCTTCTTCTCGGTGAACACGACGCATTTCTCGTTGTATTCGCTGCTGCATTGCGACTTGGGCTCCCCCATGGCTTCCTCCGCTCCAAACTTGAATTACTCGAGACAGCTGTGTTTTCCAAAGAGCCAATCCTTTTGATGCTGTTATCAAAGGACGGCGGCTTCTTCATGGAGTTCTCAAACGAAGGCTGCTTCCTGAACCCGTAGCTGAAAGAGTTTTGTTTCTTCAGTGCGTCATTATAAGTGCTTTGCTTATTGGTGGCTTTTGGTTCCAGTGAGGATTGACTTCGTCTTATCCCAGTTTTGGCGGGACTTGTGCTGTAGCGCTGAACTGCTGGCGTTTCATTGGCTTGTGTCCCTTTGTCCATTTTACTGTGATTTTCCAAGCTTTTTAGATGAGTTTGTAGCTCTTTTCTTCTATCGCTTTCATTATTGTTTCGACAACCGCCAGTTTTGTTCTCCTGAATCTCCCCGTTGCTCATTTGTGCTTTAGGATGCATCGCTGTGTTCAAATTCATGCCCACATCTTTAGCTTGCATTGTACTTTTTGCAGAGTTGTGGTGCTGGGAAAGTTTGGTCTTTTCGGATACAGAAGCTAGAGTCACGTCATCTGAAATCGTATTCGGGACATGCCAGGATTCAGTCGTCCTCCCAGCAGTTTCTAAGGCTGAGATTGTGGACAGACACGTCAAGTAGATGTCTGTTTCTGAGCTTATTTCTGATTGTGCGTGTGACTTTTCATCTTTGTTACTCGCTGCTTGTGCTGTTGTATTGCTTATTGAATCCAGCTGCTTCGGACGTTCTTTGCGTTCCGTCAGTCCGACAAAATCTTCTCCGTCCTCAAGTTCTTGACACTCCAACATTTCAAACTCAGCCAACTCCAAGTCCTCGCAAAGGGAGTTCTCTTCATAAATATTGAGTCTTTGCTGCGCAGCGCTGGTAGACTTCAACAAAGCCATCGTATCTCCAGTCCTGGTTGCATCGTTTTTTTGGATGTCATTAGCATTTGCATCGCCTGCGCTGTCTCTGGGCCCCACTTGATGGTTGTTGTTCCCCACCTCCCCAGGAAACAGAGGCTCTCGTTGATCACTCATTTTCTGAGTTTATAGCTCCATGAAGTGCTTGGGAAAGTCAATTAGTGTAGATATATCTTGGCAAATCATCTGTCTTCTACTCAGGTTTTAATCACATGGATGTTGTTTGTGAGACATTTCTCAGTTTTCTTTCAAAATCCCATAATCCGATCTTGTCGATGAGAAACCTGTAGAGAAATGACAAAACACAAAAGGGTATAGTTAAAGGGTTTGTATTGTACTAATTTCTGATCTGTTATAATGTTGTTTCCTCATCAAAAACATACCCAGATTTGTGTTTTGTTTCATTCACATCAGTGTTGTGCAAGTTCACACTTTTCATGAACTAGTTCAAAGTTCAGTTCATTTTATATTTAGATGAGCTCTGTAAATGAAAGGCTGCATTTATTTTTCAAACTGACTTCTAGTTTACAACAACTTTACAAGATACACTGTTGGACAAGTGACTTTAAAACTGTAATGTGATATTTATGACTTGTTACTGTCATTTCAAAGTCATTTGTTACATTACAATATTACTGTATTTAAAATGTAAAACATTACACGACTATTGCAGCACTTTTAATTTACTCTCACCAAAAGAACTGTTAAGATGCTGAACTTTTGCGCCGTATATGGACTGAACCAGGACTAAACCAGGACTAAACCAGGTCTAAACCAGGACTAAACCAGAACTGAACCAGGACTAAACCAGAACTGAACCAGGTCTAAACCAGGACTAAACCAGGTCTATACCAGAACTGAACCAGGACTAAACCAGAACTGAACCAGGTCTAAACCAGGACTAAACCAGGTCTAAACCAGAACTGAAGCAGGACTAAACCAGAACTGAACCAGGTCTAAACCAGGACTAAACCAGGTTTAAACCAGAACTGAAGCAGGACTAAACCAGAACTGAACCAGGTCTAAACCAGGACTAAACCAGGTCTAAACCAGAACTGAACCAGGACTAAACCAGAACTGAACCAGGACTGAATCAGGTCTAAACCAGGAATAAACCAAGACTAAACCAGGACTGAACCAGAATTTAACCAGGTGTAAACCAGGACTGCTCGGTGGAGCGTGGACTTCTGCGTCGGTCCTTTCGCTCAGGATCACGGTCTACGCGGGCGCACCTCCGGCGTTTCACCGCTGCTGATATCGCGGTGATTTTAGCAAATTTGTATGAAGAAAAACGAAAAACCCACCATTTCAATCCAGGTTAAAAAAGCATTGTGACGCGCGTTACTGACATTTGTACCAAGTAAAATAATACGCGCGCGGAGCAGCACGTCCTGTGCGTGTAGATTTCAGAAAATAGGATCCATCCTATTTTTTGACGCTCTACACGAGCGTAGGCGCGTATCCCCGTCAAAATACACAGAGAGCATGTATCTATTGTTGTATTTGTGCATTTACCATCAGCACATTGTGCTCCCTGGGCAGTTGTGTATCATGTGAAAGAGCCCAGATCCACATACACTGTTAATTAGTGCTTTGAAATTTACTTTTGAAATCCTTGCGTTTGCCGTGGTCAGCCTGTACAGAAGGTAAATACAAGCAGCTAAACGCGCCCAGTCAAGTTTGATTGACTTTCCCATTGAGAGACACAAGAGCCCGTACGTTCCGCTAAAGCTGCCGGTGGAGTCGCCTTCGCGTTGACACGCGGCTGTGGTTTCGCGAGGTGAAGTGCGAGCAGATCGTCACTCGTCAGGTGAAAACAAATTCCGACGTTTAACTGAACCCCAACAGTGACGTACGTCGTTCATCACACATAATTTGAACAAATTCACGTTCAAGTTCTTGATTTACAAAAGTGTTGCGTTCAGTTCAAAGTTCACTGAAAAATGAACGTGTTCAATGAACGCGTTCTTTTGAACTCGTTCATGCACAACACTGATTCACATAATCATTTAACACACAAACCTGCATATTTAGGTTTTCTAATGGCGCGTTCAGACCGAGATGTCAAAAAAACGAGCTGAACGCCTCTAGTTAGACACCTTAGCATCTGAGTTTAGATGCCCCCGACACACTTCTTACATCCAATGGACGAACGAGAGAAAAATACTTGAAGCGTATCTAGGGCGTCCGTTGCCCTGGAAACAAGTACCGCTTTTCCCGCAACGATGACAGACCAGGTTGAGGGATTGACTTTAGCGTATTTATTACATAAAACCCATCAGCTGAAGTGATCAGCGGTTTAGACCTGGTTAAGTCCTGATTTAGTTCTGATTTTAATCCTGGTCCAGTCCTGGTGATTGGCTCGGCGGTTGCGGTGTATATATGTATACTCCGCTAATGACACGACACGACGTGTTTGTGGCTCCCTGCCCCAGTTCCTGAGTCTTTCTCTTTCTTCTCCTTCTTCCGGATAATAACGTGGCTATGTCCCTGGATACTTGTCCCTGATTGCCTGACACAGCACACCCGATGCCAAAAGTTCAGCATTTTCCACTTCTGACGCAGACGCCCTGAACGGTCAAGATGCACTGTGTCGATGCCAGATTTCGCTCCACAAAAACGCAGGACGCCCTAGACGCGTGTTACAGTTGCCTGTAAACTGGACGCCTTGATGCCCTGCTCTGAATGCACTATAAAACCGATTTGGAGATGCAGACAGACAAGTAAACTAGGATTACCCCAACATGTGTGAATGAAACAAAACACAACTTCAGGCATGTTTTTGAGGAGGTAACAACATTATAACATGACTTAAAGTTCACAAAAGTCAATTTTGTGTAAGTGTAAAATGTGTAAAATGAGGAAAATAAAGCAGTTTAGAACAAATAAAACACTGATTAGGTGAGATAAAGTGCATTTCTGAGAGCTGTAACACAACTTTGATCAATCCTTTATACCTTTACCACCACCTCTAATGTTTTATATAGAGTAGATTTCAACATTTCACTGCTAACAAACACTGTTTATAGTAACTCTAGTGAGCAGCCCATATCTGCTCTTTTAAATATGGTAATAAATGTTGCATAGAAGTGACAGGAACAATAAAACTGTCACATTTGCAAACACTGTGATAAATCAGATATTGAGAAAGAAATGCAGATGCAACTGTGGATTGAAAAGTGTCATTAATCTAGTACACCAAATAGAGTTAGTCATCCGCCCTTCCGTATGTTCCAACAATCAAACGTTTATCTGTCTCTTAAGATAATACTCTTCACCAGTGTATGTTTTTGAAGTGACTTTGACCCTGTGGCTAATTTCGTAGAGTCAAGTCATAACAGGTTGGTTAAATGGAGAGACAAGCCTGGAGCACAGAACATTCTCATTACATAAATCCACAGCTCACACAGATGAAACCAGACGGACCGCTCCTCCTCACCTTCACACTCTCACAGTCACTGCAGAAGCAAGTGTCTCATTTCCATTCACACCACCCTGCTGCTGTTCGAGAAGCCACTCTGCTGCATTATAACATGACAAATCACCAAACAAAACAGGTCCTTACATCTATAAATGTGCAGTGTACAGGAAATATAAGAGGGATCAATGCCTGTGACTTTTCTCAGAGCTGATCGGGGACACAGGCTGGAGCTGTGTCAGCAGCTGCACTGCAGACTCACTCAATGCAGAACAGTGCATCACTACTGCACTTCTGCTACTTCACATCCACACTCGACTCTGGGACAACACCACAGGAACAGATCGTAGAAGCTAGAAACATTACAAACTGCACTGCATTTTAAGAGCACGCAATTTGCTGGAGGATATGGATTTTTATTCTGTAATTACTGATTTTTTATGATTTGATGATTGATGATTCATTAGTTGAAGATTGATGATTTATGTGATGATTGATTAGATGATAAAATGTGTTTTAGACTGATAACAGAAGCAGTGACAGGAATAACTACTACAGAAGTTTGAAGTGTTGCAACAACAAGACATAAAGTAACATTTAAATATTACTCAACAAAGCTCTCAATAGCACAAAGGAAACTTTAACAAAGTAGTGATTTTCTAAGACCTATTATTTAAAATAGAATGAAAACTATGCTTTTAAAAACAACTTCAGCGATGTCTTTGTTGTCTAGACTGCTGCCAGACAGCAAATATATGACATAAACAGAGTCATCTGGAGCACTCAAGTATTTTTTTCATCCGAATATTAAATACTCATCTAAACATATGCTTCAACATGGCTTAATCATTAAATCATAATCATTAACATATCAGTTCCCTCTGGGGCTCCTCAGCTAATGACTCGCTATAACACACTAATGAGCCTGACAAAGACAAACTGCATGTATTTCCTTTAAGTGTCACTTGAGGATGGATGTGGATTCTTTCTGCTTCAGCCAAAAGATTCTGCAGACTCTAAAACAAAGGCCAAACTATAACCACAGACTCCACGGCGCTCAGAGACACAGACGTGTAGAGCTGGATTTAGTGATAATAGGAACAAACAAAGCTACGACTCTATTACAGCCACAAACACTTCTGCTTGTTTGTTTAGGTGATGAGAATTAGAATTAGATGTGTTAATATTACTCTCAAAACATAAGACACAGACAACACAGGGGAATTAATTGTTTGTTTGAGTCATTGATTACAGTAATAATTAAAAATGTAATTAATTGCGCTAATTGTATTTGTTTCCTAGATAATAGCATTGTCACTTGATTACTAGGGATTAGACTGAATACTCAATACTTTTTAGTCTGTGTTGATGTGGATTTCCCTTTTTTTCCTCTCCTAAATTAGTATTAGTATGTTATTGTAATGTCCATTGTCTTATTATTATTGTCTGTTTAATAGAAAATATATAAAATATACTGATTAAAATAGCACAATGAAGATTAAAAATGCTCTTTTTTAGTAATAGAATCTAATTATCATACACAAAATAATAAGAAATTCTTTATTTTAGCGCAAGTTTTTTTGTTCGTTCTGATAAAGCTCAAAATCAAACTAAAACTCTTCAGGAAAGCTCAAATTTTTCCTGTTTAAGTAAAGATTAGTATCCATTTTTTTAATATAGTTGTGGCTACCCTACTAGATAATATAACAAATAATACATTGGACCAGCTAGAAAAGGGGTGGGCAAACTTTTTGACCACAAAGGATTCTAAAATTTGTCCCACAGTTTTTATTATTTATTGAAATTACTTTTGAAACACAAAAAATTATTATTATTATTACCATTATTCAAGTTCGGCGGGCCGGA